AAGGAACCCAAGATGGAAGCTTTGCAGTTCGGTTGAGTTGATTGCGCAGATTCAGTTCTATCCAACTCGAAATTGTACTGTATTGTTTGGTTGACTATAGTGTTCAGGGAAGGCACTATAGGGGTACAATTTAGGTGAAGGTTGGATGTTTTTTGTCTGTATCTGCATGCTACAAGGCCAGGGGAAACCAACAGAACCAGCATTTGGCTGGTTGGGCAAAGACAAAACAGGTTCTGTTTTTAGAACCTGAACCTGGTTGTTGTTTTCCCAGGTTGGAAAAACAGAACCAGAGGTTGTTTACCAACCTACCACCTGCTATTTTGTCCAGCCAGGTTGGTTCTGTTGCTTGGAATTATTTGGGATCATCCCTGGTTGTTCCCAGGTTGATTCCCAAGGTCCTTGCTAGCTAGAACTATTTAGTCCTTCTCTGTTTGTACCTGGACATAGTCAATTGATTCATGTGAATTCCTTCCTCGCTGGAATTTCATTTCTACGCGGTTCGACGGCGTAATGCTACCCGAGTCAACGCTAGTACTCTAGCACTCTAATGCTAGGCAAACGCTGTCCGAGCCATAACTTCGTAATGGCATAACTTTTCGCGAGGCAACTTAACTTATTTAAAGCTTTTGGAGCGAGCTTAATATAGCGAATTCTCAGCTTAATCCGATCGATGGTCTGCACGGCACGCTGCGCGACGTTCAAGGTACTCTCGCTATTTTGGCTAAGTCATTCTTGGTTCCTCTCTGTACAAAAGTCGGACCCGAGGATAGGGGCTTTTCTTTTACCAGGCACCCAGGGACCCTTGGAGGTGACTTTAAGGAGAGGCATTAAGTTTGATCAAGTCCTAATAGGGAAGAACACCACAGCCATCCTGATTTTCCAGGGCATTTCATATGAAATCATCCTGAGAGCTCAGGGTAAAACGTTACACTATTCTGAAATCACACGGCAAATACAAGTATGCGTCCTAAATTCAGGGTAATCAGGATGTTTTGCCCTGATATCGTGGGGCCTGGGTAGATTTAGCCGATGCGTGATCGCCTGTTATTGGAGTCATCAGCGTGGTCAGCATCTACGTAGCCAATAAGTTTAGGCATCGTGGTTCTGGTTTTGTGGTAGGTTAAGCCGACTGTCGGTGTGCTGACGAGGTAATGCAGTGCGCGATCAAGTTCCGCCATGTGCTTTGCTTCGGGCTTCTTGAGATGAGTGGCGAGCTGGCTCGCCGAGTACGACAGGTCCGGTCGACAGGTAACGACAGCGAAGAGTAGGCATCCCAACTTTCGCTGGTAGTCGTATATGCAGGCAGGTCCGAGCGGAGTGGAGGCTTCCTTGTGATTTTCCGCGGTGTAGCGATACGGTACCTTTGGAGCTGAAAACCATCCTGAATGGTGCGTGGGGGTATGAGAAGCGGGACCGTGCGAAAAAAACCCCAGGCGATTTGCATTTTTCTACACCTGTGCGGATCGTTTTGTGTTTTCGAGAAAAAATGGCTCTAAATGCCCCGGAGGGGCCCGCTTCAAAGGGGGTCGGTCGCACGTTTGTGTGCCTTTGGCGGCTGACATTAAACCGAATTATTTTGCGATGGTTTCGGTGTATATTGCGGCGCTGAGGTAGATCGTGTTTTCACCGTCTTGTATGTTATCGGTGGAGCCTATGTAAAGCAGATCGTCCACATAGATGATGAGTAGGATGTACTCAGCAGCTTTTGTGAGTCGGTAGATCCCCTGGTCATGTGGCAGTTGGCGAAAGCCGATGCGGGTTGGTCGGGCGTGTGGGTACTGCTGCCACAGCCTCGGGGCTTGCTTGATGCCGTACAAGGACTTCAGTAGCTGACAGACTTGGTTAGGGTCTGTGTCGGATCCATGTGGTTGCTCGACGAAGATTTTGGCGTCAACGGGAGCGTAGGGGAATGCGTTAGCTACGTCAATTTGACGGAGTTTCTTCCGCTTCATGGCGGCTATCGCAAGCAGGATTCGCAGAGAGGTGTGTCGGCTGACAAGTGCAAAGGTTCCGGTGAAGACTCGTCTGTGTCCTTGGTCGAGGCCATGCACAACCCATCGTGCCTTGAATTTATCAATTGTTCCGTCGGCTTTTGTCTTCACGCGGAAGACCCATTTTCCCGTTAGCACTGTATTGTTGCGTGCTACTCCGATAGGCACTATCTTCTAGGTGTTTCTGTCTTTCAGCGCCTTTAACTCTTCGTCCATGGCTTCGTGCCATCCCTGTGCTCCCCCTCTAGAGCCTGCTGAACTGTAGAAGGCTCCTTTGGCGGTGATGTTCCGTGGACGGCTGTGACAAGCCCGAGTATCTGAAGTCCACTCTGTAAGAGTCAAGGGAGACTGGTTCATCTCCCGCCTTTGGATCAGGTAAGAAATTGGGGCCTATGCGTTCGGAGATGTTGGTGTCGACTGGTTGGGGTGTAACGTAACCGTTGTCGGCGAAGTCGTAGTAGACTTCGGCGTTGATGCTTTCGCGAGGGTTGTCATCGTCCATCGGAATGTTGACCGAACAGTAAGGAAGAGGTCCGGCTTCTTCCGATGCTCCATCCACGTTTTGCTTATCCCAGTTAGCCTCATCTGCTGCCGAGGCGAAGAATCGGTTGCCACGGAAGCTGCCCGTGGGTCTCGTTATGCTGCCCTAGTTGTCCAGGCACGTTTGGAGTTTGGGTCGTTCATAGAAAATCACGTCACGTGCTGCTACTGTTTCCTTCGAGTGGACGTCGAAAATCTTCCACGCGTTGTAATGTTTTTCGATGGCCATGTGTAACTAAATTGTGCGCGCTGGGAGAATCGGCTGGCTCGTGCAGTTGGAGGTTGGTACTGTACCATGCAGCCAAATACTCGTAACATTTTTGTGCTGCCCAGTTTTCCTGTCCACAGCAGGTGCGGTGATGCGTTGTTCGGGAGCGATGATGACGAGAGCAAGTTGTGCAGCAGCACACCATGGTCCATTGCCTCGGGCCACTGGTGGTTGGGTAGCCGCATGCCACGTAGCAGCTTGCGCATGGTGTTCTGGAGAGTCATGTTCAGCCGTTCTGCCACACCTTGCTGTTGATGGGCGTAGGGAAGAGAGATGAGTCGCTCGATGCATCTCTGCCAAGTACTATTCGAATCTCTGTGACTGATATTCCCCTCCCCCGTCTGACTAAAAGCTTTTCAGTTTCACTCCTGATTCCCGTTCTGCTACTGGAAGCCAAGCAATGAAGGCTTCGAAGGCCATGTCGCGACTCGGAAGGTTGAGGTGCCAAACGTATCTGATGGCGGCGTCGATGAATGTGATGACGTGGTTGTGTACTTCCTGTCCTCTTTCGCGAGCGTACTGTACATCGTTGTAAACTTTCTCCAGTGGAGCATATGCTAGTGCGCTCGGGTTTTGGTGAGAGATGAACGGCTGATAAGGTAAGTCGGCTTCAGGGCAGGTAAAGCATGTTCCACGAACTTGTTGAAGTTCTCTGCCGTCAGGTAGAAGATGTGAGTCCTTGTCGGAAACTCCTGCTCTTATCGTGCTGTTCAGTGTCGTGTTGCTCGGGTGTCCCATCCGTTCATGCCATAGTGATTCGCTGGCGCGATGTTCAGGTGATCGCCTGTACAGGTCGGGGTTGGAATAGAAGCTCGCGATGAAGTTGGCGTTTTAGTGGACTTCGCGTAGAGTGGGAGTTAGCTGCTGAACGGGAGTCGGCGTAGAGTCGATGGTGGGAGGTGGTGCTGTTGAAGGGCCAGCGATTGGTGTTGTTGTCGCTACTTCTGTTGTCTCTGCTTCTGCCGGTGTTGTCTGTGCTTCGGCCGGTGTTGTCTGTCAAATCGTTGCTAACGCCCTTGTCCATTCTGCTTCAGGTATGGTCTGCGAGTACCAGAGGACTGAAGTCAGAGTCGAGATCCGGCGGGTGCGTCCAAGTGGTGAAGTTGACGTTTGCGTCGCTGTCGGCGGTGCCTTGATCTGGGACGAAGTCATGGACGAAGACATTATTCTTCAAAACCGCCTTCCCAATGTAAAGTCCTCCTCTGCCGTTGTACAACTTGAACTCCCGAGTGGTGCTGTCGGCTTCAAGATGAGTTGGCTGACGCTAAGTAAATTGTAGCCGAGTCCTTCTGCAATCAAAACTTTTGACATTTGTAGGATAACGTTAGTCTCGGGGGATTGGAGTTGAACTACTCCTTGTCGTCGTGTGCGCAGGTTCTGGTTGTTGGCGATAGTGATTACTACTTCGCGGTTGAGACGCTGTTCCCGTTGAACGAAGCGACCCGAAGAACACATGTGTTGTTTGCAGCGAATGATTTTCTTGCGCCGTGCTAGACTGCATTTTACAACTGCTGGAGCAGGTGGCGACGAATTAGCAATACTGGAGGCTGTTTTTTTTGTAGTGAGTGCGATCATTGTTGTCAGGGTGAGTTGAATTGAAATTTTCCCCCACTTACTGTCCCTGGCATATTCTTCTTGGCCATTGTGACTGGTTTCAATTGTACACCCACATAACAAGAAATTGACCAATTTTGAATCCCAAGCTCTTTCTGCAGCAATCTGATCCCACTGATACGTTCAACTGTATAAACTCAGGGTACATTCTTCGCTGGACATGTTCCAATTGAAAGTGTCTCAATCGTTTCTACCGCACTGCATCGTATTACACCAAATTACACCCTAGTTTCGAATTTTTCGCGTCTCTAGTTTAGTTCGGTTCGGAGCGGTACACTCGATTGGGACACATCGATTGGGACATGTGTCCACAGCGGAATGTACCCTCATTATCAGTTATAATCCAAACAGTTCATACTCCCATCCCTAGTTCCTTATACCCAGATCCTAGTTCCCATTCACAAGCAAATACACGCATCAGAATGAGCAGCTGACTAGTTGCCATTACATACTATAGTACAGCTTCTCACTCTGCCCATTCACTATCGAAATGAAGGTTGAGGCCAGATAATTCCCCTCTATGGTAGCTCCCACCAGCGCAGCCAGTCCCAGGACCTTGGGCTTGGTAGCAGTTTCAGCCGGGATATTTATGTCAATAACCTTAGAGCAGGTGAACACCCCAGAAATTGGCACGATAACGGGTCCATGAGTTTCGTTGTGAGGGGGCATGCGAGTGGGAGGGGATCTGACGTATCGGCACCGACCTGACCCATCAGGGAGACGCCTGTGCTGGTGGTAACGCCCCTGGTGAACACCAGATGCACCTCCAGGGTGACCTTGGTGTCGCTGCATGATGGGGGGGACAAAGGGTGGGGGGAGCAGAGGACATAATAGGTGGACTAAGAAACAGGCGCACAAGGTGTGCTGGTGGTAGCGCCCCTGGTGAACTCCAGGTGCACCTCTAGTTTGACCTTGGTGTCGCTGCATGGAGGGGGGTGCAGAGAGGTGGGGCCGCAAAGAACGCACAAGGCAGAGCAGAGGAGGGGAGAAGCAGAAGGTGTGTGGAGTGTGACGCAATGACGTCTCTGGTGAAGACCAGAGGAACCTCTAGGCTGGCCTTGCTGCATTGTGTGAGGCTTCGCAGTTGATGAGGGAAAGGGCGCAGCGTAGCACACAAGGGCTGCCTCCTTCGAATGGCTTCAGATTTCTCTGACCATTTTAAGTGCTCAGCTGAACTCAAAAGCGACTGCCCTCACCACCACCCTCACAAAATCAAACTCACGGCTTAGTTCTTGCTGTTACCACACCTATTGCATTTCGATGGTGTCTATTCTGAAATGCTGGACTCACTTGCTTGTGGTGACCCAGATCCTGGCTCCCCCTGCCACGGCGCCAGAGAACATGGGTTGGAATCGACCGCCTGCCATGGCTGGCAGCAGTGCTTGGTCCGACACTGGCAGGGGTGCAATGCAAGGGATGCGGTGGGAAGGGATGCAATAGGGCGACACAAGCATTGGAATAGAAGCAGTGAGGGGATGGAATCAGTGACACGCAGTGAGGGGATGGAATCAGTGAGACGCAGTAAGTGGGAGGGACACAATGGGACGGGTGGAATATTAGGAGAATGGTCAACGTACAAGCACACATCACAGCGCGCATATTGTGTTGCTAAAGGACGCAGTACTATACTAGCTGCTCTGGGCGCTTTGCGCCAGCTCCACTCCTGAAGGTTCCATACAAGCATCCATCGCGGAATTTGCAAGGGCCCAAAGTCACAGAAATGTTACTTTTCCGTGACTTTTCCATGACTGTTTTGCGTGACGCAAACATCATGGACAGAAGTACCAAAAACCCAAGTCACGGAAATGTCACGTTGGAGTTCCGAAATTTCTTATAGAAAGTCACTGAAATGTGACTGGTGAAGTGATGTTCTCGTCACTTCTCGTCACTTTTTTGTTCCCATGCCACGTGGACAAACCGCGTTTCATCTTTCTAGATATTTTGCCAGGTGTCCATGTCGGTGATTGGTTGAATTGGACCAATCGACTGTCAGTTCAGTGTGTTCTAAAACGTAATATGATTGGCTGGAGAATCTCAATTGCGACCGCATATCGCACACGAAACACAGCATTGCGCACGTCCAATTTTCTAAACAGCACAACCAAGACGTCCATTGTCGTTTTCCAAAATACATCACTATTCAGAATAGTACACACATACATCGGCAGAGCAACACACCCGTACGTCTACAACACCGCACGTCCATATGGACAGATAGCTAACCGCGCTCTATATTAAAGCCTAGTCAGAAACTAGTCCGTCCAGATGGATCGGACGGAAACGCACACATACGACCCTGCGTCCGCGCTAACACATCCACCTGCACCATACCGCACGTACACGCGAGTCATCAAAGTTAAAGGCTAAAACGATGATAAGAAAAATATCGAGACACGGGATTAAAATAAAAACAATAACGAGAGCAGCTCGAAGACAAAACCGTCCACCTCGCACAGCTCTAGCGCTCCCACACACGCCAAAGGCTCCCTCCCTCCTGCGCGCGCCCATGAACGCATCGAGCGCAGGCTGCAGCGCGCTCTCCGCATCCAACGCCGACGTCGCCTCGTTCAGCAGCAACACCCGCGAACTCCGCAGAATCGCCCGCGCGATCGCCACGCCCTGCTTCTGCCCCCCCGACAGCTGCGTGCCTCGCTCCCCCACCTGCGTCTCGTAGCCCTGCCGGGGGAGGGGGAGAGTAAGGAGGGAAGAGAGCGGTAAGGATGGAAGTGAGAGCCTAGGGCATGGGAGGCGGAAACGGAGGGTAAGGGGGAACGGAAACGAGCAGTCTGAGGCAGGGGTAAGATGGAGAGGCGAAGGGCGGAAGAGAGACGGACAAAGGAGAGACACGAGCGCACTTACGTCGGGCGAGGGGTACGCTAAGGTCACCTCGCGCAGCTGCGGCGCTCCCTCACACGCCAGGCTAACCCTGAAAATTTATGGGGAATAAAGGTGGGAGAAAAGGGCATAAGCCGAGAGGGATAGACGCGGAACGAGATGTGCAATTCACGGTGGCAAAACTACGTTTACCGCCGGGTGTGAATCAAGAAAAGCATAAACACACGTAGCGAATCGCTACTGACCGAATTTGTCGTCCAAAGCGACTGCCCGGGCGGCGGCTTCACGTCGCCAAGCGTTCGGCGGTTCCTCATGCGGAAATTAACTACGGAGGGGGGAGGGGGGAGGGAGGTTGGGAGAGCAGGGCGGGGAGGGAGGTTGGGAGAGCAGGTCAGAAGCCGAGGGAGGTAGTTTCGGAATGGGATATGCTGTCGCGAGCAGGTTTACACATGGAAAAAAAACAAAAAGCCACCCGAAGTGTAAGGACCGGGAGTACAAGCTAGCTTCAGAAGTTGCGAGCAGATATGTGGATGTAACATATTGGCGATGGCGAAAGACCCTAAGGACAGAGCGCTTGGAAAGAGGTACGTAGAGCGCTGGAGGGTGACTAGAACTTGGGAGATAGAGCATTGCGATGAGCGAGGAGTTGAACGGCAGAGCAGCTAACTGCCGAGAACGTACAAGGCAGAGCATTTGTACGGCAGGGTGGGGGTAGGTGGGGGTGGGGGAGGATGAGAGGTTGAGAGTGGTTTGAGGCTCCTTGTGCTGATGTGTGTGAGTGGATGGATAAGGGGGGCTGGCGTACGTCGATTCTGATTTTGTGCGCTGCCGTGATTGGTTCGAATATGTTTGAAGTGAGGTTCGCTTTGGTTCCGTGTGGTGCCTGGAAATGAAGTGGAGCGCCGTTGTTCATTTGAAGTGCAGGGGCACACGTGGATTGGTTGGTACACCCACGTCTGTTGGTTGGGTACGGCAGCAAATTATGTTCGCTTTCGTGTTTGCGAGTTTCGTGACTTCAGTAGCCCCGGATTGTTTCTATCGTTTCAGTTCGCGAACGCTCGCAAGTTCTTCATGATCGCTCAACGACTTCAGTTTCCGAGGGTGATCAGAGGCACCACTATTGCACCGCATTCAAACACTTTCAACCCCTCTCGACGCTATTTCGAACCCAACTAGTTTGTGACTAACAACTTCGCGTCACTGTGAAGTTGCTCTTGCGTGACTTTCTCTCACGTGTGAAATGTCACGGGAAAGTGACATTTCCTTCGTGATTTTCCAGAAGGATTGTGTGGTTTTCCCGGGGCTTTTCCGTAGAAAAACCCACGGCGACCAAATTTTCGAGTTTGACAAAACCGCGATGTCGCCTCATTCAACGCAGCATGTGGCAGCGCAACACTAAGTGCAGCGCACGTTCAAGGATGCGCTTTGAGTGCGAGGCCATGGCAGAAAGCAAAACTTGCATTCACGGATTCATAACGCAAGCATCGCATCCGTACCAGCATCAGTAGCGCCGGTCTCTGACCAGACATCTAGCAGTCCAGACGCGTCCACCTTCCCGTCACGGGAAAATGGGAAGTGCGAAAAGCAACTCAAAATACACTCTCCCGCAACTTTCCAGATATTTTTTGCCCGGCACTTTCAAGTCACGGTTTTAGAACTGCATGGCGACAGTCACTTTCCCGCTGCATTCTGTACACATTGGCTCAACTGACCAATTATACAGTAAAGCAACTTTCCCGTCAATCTAGAGCAACATGTGCGAAAGTGTCTCGACAACGCCACGTGGCGTACGACGTACTCGCGATGAAACTCCGACGTGCTGACGTGGCGGTTACCGTACTCTAACGTTAGCCGTCGGATGCGAGTCTGATTGACGCACACGATCCTGCCATGTGGACCAATCAGAGCCTAATATCGTGTACAGTAACGTCGTACGATTGGCTGGAGATTCCTGCAACGAATCTGACTCACGTGGCAATTCCGAAGGTGGACTTTCATGTATATCCTGATTCTTCGAATAGTATTCACAACGCATACACTCGCTGAGTTTCTACACCTACGCCTAACTTGTAATGCACAGCTAAGTGTCTACACCTACACCTACGCTATCACTACGCCTACACACAGCTAACAAGCTGCAAACTCTGCATAGTTAGGAAACGAACTTACCCTGCAAGGACAAAGAAAAACAAAACATGGTGAACAAGCGAGAAGTTACAACTTTCCGCCACTCACCATTCGGCTGTGGAATGCTGCTGCTAATGCAGTCAACGTTGATGACCACTCACCATTCGGGTTCGTGATGCTGGAGTACGAATTATTGGTGAAAAATAAACATATTGCGTTTCTGGTGGACGGTAAGCCTGCAAAAACAGGTACGCCCTGCAACACATGCACACGACAGCATACTGTTATGCATCCCGCGCACATGGCTCCAGAGAGGTTAGTTAAAGCATGTACTTAGCCTTTAGCATAGTCACTCGCGGCGGTACTAACGACGATGGTTATGCACACGACGATGCTGTTGCGACAGCCATATTCGCGAAGGCAAAAATGGCTAGCCTATGTTGGAAACCGGACATGCACATGATTAGTTGCAAACACAGAACACATTGCAAAAAACAGAATACATCGTGACAATAGTAGCTACGCACAAAACGAAGCTCAGAATCGATACATTGAGATTGAGTAACAACCTTACGAAACTTGCTAGATAAAAGTGAACGAAATAAACAAAATAGGCAGATTGAAACAACATACATAAATCACACCTGGGATGCTGCGCGACGACTTCCGTGCTCTGCGTGAACGACGTCCACCCAAGCAGCCAGCGCAGCTGCTGCAGCGCGATAGTGATGTTGAAAAATTTCCGCCAATACCTGGTGGCGCAACAGGGGGGAAAAAAAAGAGGCAGGGGACGGAAGACTGATGAATAACAGAGGACGTTGGTGGGACAAAAAGGTTATCGAAGCGCCTAAGTTAGCGTGCGGTTTCTTTAAACCACTATCTAAGTTGCGGATCTAAGGTAATAGGAGGACGATGGTGATGAACATTGAGTACAAAATGAAAGGTGAGGGGGAGTAAGGTTGGTTGTAGGTACGACACGAATGCAGGGGTTATAGGGGAATCATGGGTGGTTCTAGCTGACGTGTAGAAAACAGCGGGTGCAGATTGATTGACTACTCACAGAAACAACAGTGATTGGCTTAAAATAGATTTTGTGGCTTCCACGTCACACCCCTAAAGAAACCAGCACACTTGTGTGGGTTGGGTTGGGTGGTTGGGTTCAGATTGGGTACTGAACGAAAACAATGTATGCAGTTGTTGAACCTCGTTGGACTTCGTGGGTTCGATTTGTTTTGTTAAATTTGTGGTTACATTGCACTGCCCTCGTCACTCTGCAAAACCGCATGGAATCTCTCTCGAACGTGCGCCACCTACTGACCTGAAAAAGTTGACGGAAAAGCAACTGGTGTACCGAATGTTGCGATCTTCGTGCGTTGGTTTTTGGATACTTTGCACAACTTGTACGCAAGGTTTACGCAGAAAAACCTTCGAAGGCCAAATTTCGCAACTTCCATTTTCGCGATGGTTGATCCCGGCGTGCGTCACTTTGATCGTTTTCGCAGCAGGGCCAGGCCAGGCTGAGGGATACTTGGCCGGCCAGAAGCAAGACTGGGTCAAGTCCCACACCCCGGGGGCCACCATCTTCCACTGATTCCCGGTGTCTGTCGCCAGAGGCACGCCATCCCACAAAGAGACCAGCGTTGGAGGGTCAACGCTTCCCGCTATGATCACCCGGAAAACAGTTGGGAGTTCAGGGCTGGTAATTGGAGTATGGGGCGGGCGAGGAGGTGGGAAGGAGAAGGAGATCAAAACGGCTCGTGATCAGCCGCCAGGTGGGAACGACTCATACGAAGAATACACCGAGAATGATTGGCCAGGAATCGCACGTGGTGACACGTGAAGAAAGGACTTACGTTGTCACTGATATTTGCATGAGCATGACCCCCTCCCAGTGGGAGGTTCCGAGAACTCCCGGTTTTCATATTTCGAGCTTACAGGTTGGATCTCTGAGCTTCTGGTTCTGGAAATGCAAGTTACAAGGTGACTCATATTGTAAATAATAGCGAGTAGGCAAAACCGATAAATCAAATTCCCTGACAACAATCGAATCGTGACGTTATCATCTTTTACCGATCGTGCACTAATGATCGTTTTCTTACAATGGTAGCGACGGCGATCTTACATGAGTACTTGGGAATCACGACAATGAAAGGCGCAAGATCCGCATCATCGAGCTTGGGGTTGCGCTCCCACGCCGACGACATGCTGGCAGGCGCCGCGCAGGACAGGATCATGAGGTCAGCGACGAAAAGGGCAGAAATATGCCATGGAAATATAATGTATTGTAGCTAGGCGTTACCACATATTGAATATCTTGAACTGATGGAAAGGGACATGCTGTAAGCAGGATTTTATAGAATGCAGATGGGATCTGCCGTGTCTGAAAAATGATACCTGGAAGGCTCATGAGGCTGGATATGAGCAAGTACGAAAGAGTGAGGCGAGCCATGGCGATGCGGACGGTGAACGTGGCAGGAATTTCGAACGCTCGGTCTGGTTTGAGAAACCTGGCTATGAAGAATTAGGAGCTATGAAGAGAATAGGGAAGTGGAGTTGCTGGTGGAAAAGGAAAGCTACTATGAACTGGAAGGCTGGACAGACGCCCTGAATGTGTGTGTGGTGATGCACCGATATGGAGGGTGGATTATCTTGGTTGCGGAATATGCGGAGGCTTACCGAATGATTTGTTACCGGTGTAAAGGGCTGACAACGGGTGCAGCTGGGCGAAGGGCTGGTTGGGAAGGTTGGAGGAAGAAATTGGAATTTCCGAGCAGTGCATTATTGGGTGTCCGAAGCGCTTGGTTTGGGCACCCTGAGGTCCCCCTTGGTCTCGAACGCATCATATGCCACCCCGATTATTGTCAGTTTAGCCCGCCCAAATTGGGAAGGTAATGCTGTTTCTTGGTGTTGTGAAGGGGCAGAATACCACGTGCGAAACGCCAATCCTGCGTTACCATCTTATTTTTACGAGTTACAAAGCAAGTCGTCAGACTTCGTGGAGTCATTGAGATCCCAAAAAGCTGCCAGCCAGCTGCTAGCATGACATTTCGAACAAATCCGAACCATCGTTCTCCGAGCAAGATGGAGAGTGACTACCGTGTCGAGTGGAAAACGAAATTATAGGTGTCCCAATTCTCTCGGAATTATACGAGTTCACTTTAAACGGTGGGGTGCGATGCTCTGCATGTTGGAACGGCTTGTTTGCACATCTTTACGTTCCGATATGGTCCAGAGCGAAAACGAGCTAACCATTATCCAATCAAGCGGGCGGAGCTCCCGCCTTTCACGAATCTTTTGAAACAAGGCGTGGAGCCAAACGATTTTTCTAAGGGTAGGACAATTGAAGCGGCTGAACCGACCGAATACCTTTTCTATCCACTAAAATGGAACGCGAGCTACTGCGTTCCTCGAGTAGATACGTCGGAATGCTTAGACGGGAGTGAAACGTGAGCACATGAATTATTGCTGGAACATTGGGCCAATGGTTGACGAGCCAGCGCGCGAGTCTTGCGGCGACGGCCTGTCGCCGCGCTTTCTTTGCATAAACAGGTCACCGCGGCTCGTTCCCTTCCACCCCTGTAGGTAAGGCTTGCATTATTGAGCCATTTATTACGAGCGTCATCGCCACAATCCTTTCGCATCGTCAGCCCTTCCTTCTCGTCTTCTCGGCTCTTTCTTCTTTTTTATGCCGCAAGCCGTTCGTGTCCACGATTTCCAGTGCTAGTTCTTTCTAGGGTTCACAAAGTCAACGTTAGACTCCAGCAATGGCTCTCCCCCGTATTCTTACGTGCCTCCTCATCGTTGCTGGTGCGGTTTATCATGAGTCCATGTGCCTCCTACCTCAATCACTGAACACGCACAATCATTTTCAACCTGCGATACATTGACAGTACGCTTATACTGTACCTACGTGGTAAGGTCATTTTCTAATGGCCCTCGTTCTCCCTCGTCTCTTTCCTGGCGCCTACAGGCGTGCTGGACTCGTCGGCACTTACGGGAGCTGACGCGGCGTTAAGCTTCGAGGCCGCCAAGCACCGCGCCGTGAAACAAGGCCAGACGTTTCTAAAGCTCCTCCAATCGCTGCTCTTCCCGCTGCCCACGCCTGCCGCCAGTCAGTGCCTGCCTGATTTCCCTGATGCGCTCCATTGCATTGCTCGCTCAGTGTGAAAGCGCTCAGCGTGAAGTGCTCGGATTTGCATCCCGTCCCGTGTAGCGTTTCGCGTGGCTGTCTCTCATCCATCAGCCTGTGCATTCTCTCCTGTGTTTCTCCCTGTCGTGCCGGCCCGCCTACGCAGTTTTTTACAGCACGGCGATTGCGGATACGGACGTTAAGGGGACATTCAGCATCGCAGTCCCAACCGAGTAAGGCATCCGCAGTTGCGCCTCAAACGTGGGGTTTACGCACTCTAATAGGCGCTTTTGCAATGTGACGGCTCAGGCCTTGCATGTGGTTGGGGTGGGATAAGCCATGTGTGCAAGCCGCGTGACCAGGGCACCCGAACAACCACGGCGATGGGAACGCACGATGCGTTTGCCTGCGGCCGTTTCTCAAGGCGACTGGGCAACCATCTAGCTTGGCTTGGTTCGCTTCCGCTCTCTTCGTGCTCCCGCCTGCTCACCCTCTCTCACCCATTCCCCCACCTGGACTTGCACTTTTCCATGCTATCATTCGCCCACCACTTAACCGAACTAGGTCACCCAAACTAGGTCACATGAACCAGGTCTCCCGAACCATGGCATTCGAACCATGTCACCCGAACCATGTCATTTGAACCATGTCACCCGAACCATGCCATTCGAACCATGTCACCCGAACCATGCCATTCGAACCATGTCACCCGAACTATGTCATTCGGACCATGTCACCCGAACCATGTCATTCGAACCATGTCACCCGAACCATGTCATTCGAACCATGTCACCCGAACCATGCCATTCGAACCATGTCACCCGAACCATGACATCAGACCAGGTCACCCGAACCATGACATCAGACCAGGTCACCCGAACCATGACATCAGACCAGGTCACCGGACCAGACCAGGTCATCCGAAGGTCACGCGAACAAGGTTAATAGAAAAATCAACCGAACCATGTCACCCGAAGCAGGTCACCCTAAGCAGGCCTCTCAAATCACGCCCTTTCTTCCTTAAACCACGTCCTTTCTTGCTCAAACCACGTCCTTGCCTGCTCAAACCACGTCCTTGCCTGCTCAAACCACGTCCTTGCCTGCTCAAACCACGTCCTTGCCTGCTCAAACCACGTCCTTCCTTTCCTGTTCAAAGCGCCCTGCTTAACCATACCATCCCACCATACCTCCCGTCCTCCCCCTCCTCGCCTCTCCTTTTCCTCCTCCCCACCCGCCAACCATGCCATGCCGCTTCAGGTCCGCCTGACCACCACGGGCTGTTTCGCCTACCCTGCCGACAGCCTCTCAGTTTTCCGAGCTGAACACGCCATATGCCCTGCGCTGTGCTCAAAACCCCCTTTCGCTTCCTTTTCCCCCATGCGCTCCACCATGGCCAGGGACCAGAGCACGCCCATGCAGTTCTGCCTCACCATCTCAGGCTGTTCCTGCCACTGCCGGTCCCTCAAAATCCCAGACTAACAAGTCCTGCGCTGCGCTCAATCCCCATTTGGTCCCTCTCCCCCCCCACACCCTCCACCATGGCCAAGGACCAGAGCACGCCCATGCAGTTCCACCTCACCACCTCAGGCTGTTCCAGCTAACAGCCATCACCGGTCTCTCGAAATTTCAAACTGAACAAGTCCTGCGCTGCGCTCAATCCCCTTTCGGTCCCTCTCCCCCCACGCGCTCCACCATGGCCAGGGACCAGAGCGCGCCCATGCAGTTCCGCCTCACCACGGCAGGCTCGGTTGATCCGCCGGTGAGAGTGACTGTGGGTGTGAGAGCTCCCGTCACGCTGGCTTCGCTCGGCAGCACCATGCAGTGCTTGCAGGTCGCGCCGAGCGTGTGGGACTGCATCCGCCAGACCGCACTGACCGAGGCTGAACTCAACAGCGTCGGGTTCAAAGCTGGCGTGGGGGCTCGCGTGGATTCGCACGCGTTGAAATTGACGTATCTGGACTCAAACAAGCAGCCCTTGGTGGCCGCTGCGAGATCGGCCCTCGCGAAAGCAAAGTCAACTTCAAAACAGGATCAGGTTTTCAGTACGTTTCTTTGCCCTGCTCCGGTACCATTCGTGTGAAATTTGTGTCCTCTTCGGCTAACGTTCTGAGTTTGCTTAGTTCATCGTTTTGCTCGCGTGAAAATGGTGTAACATCATGAGCAAGTGGTTTACTAACCTTTCTAAATTGGACAACATCATGTGTTGCAGGTAAGCCCGAGCTGCTGGTTGGGGTTCCCGCTGGAAGGTTCCAGGCAAGGATCAACGGCGATAAGACCAAGGGAGGCGCCATGTTTGCAGTCTCTTCCAATGCGTAAGTCCCTACAAAATCTGACAGATCTCAGAGAATGAGCTTTGCGAGTAACTGAGCCCGTGTTAAGTACCCATGGCTGACCTCGACAGCGATTAGCTCAAAAACAGCCACTCCCTCGATCCATAGCGCTCCTTGTCCCTCCTTTTCCCTCCGCCCTTTGTTTCCCTCCCCTTCCCATCCTTTCTGCTCTTATCTCCTTCCTCCCTCTGCCTTTGTCCCTTCTCCCTCTTCCTCCCTTTTCCCTCCTTAAGCCGACTCAACAGTCATGAACATGGTGGTGAACGCGGTGTATAAGGTGCAGGTGGAGTCAGAAGGGGGAGATTCAGCTGAGGCCGTGCTGCACTATGCTCAATGAACGCATGTGTGTGTTTTTTTAGTCGACTCGACTGTCACCTCGACTCAAAAGTTGGCTCGCTCACGGTTGCCCTGCCAGTCATGAACATGGTGGTGAACGTGATATATAAGGTGCAGGTGGAGTCGGAAGGGGGAGATTCAGCTGAGGCTATTCTGCACTATGCACAGTGAACCCCTGTGTGTGTTTTTTGAGCCGACTCAACAGTCATGAACATGGTGGTGAACGCGGTGTATTAAGGTGCAGGTGGAGTCAGAGGAGGGGGAGTCTGCTGAAGCCGTGCTGCACTATGCGCAGTGAGCGCATGTGTGTGTTCTTTGAGCTAACTCAACAGTCCTTAACATCGTGGTGAACGACGTGTATAAGTGAAGGTGGAGTCGGAGGGGGGGGGGGAGTCTGCTAACGCCGTGCTGCACTATGCGCAGTGAGCGCGTATGCTTGGGGGGGAAGTCAGGAAAGCTGCTCCTTTCGATAGCACTAGGGTGGGTGTGGGTGCTGCATCAGCAAACTCGCTGGCAGGGAAACTGTTTTCGTTTGTACTTGCCAAGAAGTGCCAAGAGGTAGCAATAAGCCCTCTTATTGCTACCTCCCCCACGAATAAAACTTACGCAGCCATAAGGGCTCCCTCTGGGGAGACTTTGGTGTTAAAATGCTAAATCTAGCCCGTACATATGGCTCTTCATTTCTTGATCTGAGGTGCAGGCCCCAAAATGTCAGGGTATTTTACCCTGATTGCCCTGACTGGCGGCCACTTTTTTATGAAGTACCCTGACGCAGTCAGACTCCCAGGCTTTAAACTTTGAATCCAAAAGTGCATGATTTTTTAAACCCTTATAGAATCTTTGCTTGTGTTTTGTTCCCCTGACTATATCAGTGTTCTTTCCCACTTACCCTGATACCGAGTTCCCGGAAGCGAGGATTCTGCTACATTACACATACACTGCACATGTGACGCGATGCCACTCTCCCATCTTGTCGCACCCCCCCTATGGTGAAAAACTGCCAAACCCCCCCACCGACCCCAAAGTTGCACCGATTGGTGGTTTTGGCAAGATTCGTGCCAGCGCACCCGTGGTTGCTTTGCTGCCACTCATAGTCCCTGCCAAGTGTGGCTGTTTCTGCCACAGCAAAACTGGCGCGCTGTGTGGGTCGTCTTGCCCGGTGGTGGAGATGCCACGCCATCACGTAACAGCCTGTACCTGCCATGCTTTCCCTCGCTGCATTGACAGTTTTTCGCGGTGCGGAGTTGGTCTTTCGTTCCATCCCAAACGGAAAGCATCCCCCTCACCTCTCTCTTACACTTCCCCGAGGTCTCACGGAGTAGCACCAGCCAGTCATGTCAGCCGAGCAAGAGCCCGATTCAGAACCGTCTGGGGGCCCAAGAAACGGGCTCTCAGTTCTAGGCGTTCCCCCCAAGATATCTGATAATTGCACCGTTCCCATCGCGCAGCCGCCTCGTGACGCCTCGCCCATGCGAAGCGTCGGCTATGTGTTTGCTGTCGACCGGCCCACTTCTCCTAGTGCTGTTGAGCCACACCCGTCGCTGGTTCTTGTTCCTGGCGGCGATGAAGGCAGCTCCAGGCCTTCTACTGCGTCCCCCTCGACAGTGAACAGCACGCCGAGCAAAAGGCCGCGGATCGGGGTGAAATACACTCAGCAGAGGCTCTGGGGCACACCGCCACCAAAGAAGGATGCATCACCTACTCGCACCGAAGCTCGTGCCGCCGATCCCAAACCACCAACCGAAAACCCTGAAGCTGAGTACGCAGCGTACAAACACAGGTACGATACTGAGTGGGCAGGGAAATTCGACTGGTTACGGCTACATTGTCAGACCAACGGGAGACCTTCGCTGAAATGCAGTGTGTGCATGAAGTACGGCGATCCTACCGCTCAGAAAATTGGAACCATCCGTGTTCACTCATCCACCCGAGCACATAAACAGGCGCTGGAGAGCGAGGCTCGGTCACTTGCGGCAAAGGAGAAGCAAGTGACTTTGACAAGGTGGCATGAGACGGATGCGTCGACACGCCACATCATCCGCTGCCTGCACATCGCGATGTTCGTCTGCAAGGCCGACGCACCAATCGCAATGTTCGTCCCCCTCTGCTGGTTTCTCGCTAAGGAGGGTCTTCCAGATCTTCCCCCCAACGGCGGCTACGGTGCATACTATACTGAGTACGTTGTCTGTTGTTTGTTGTGCCTTACGTATTATTTTTTTTTACAGTTGTTAAACTTCACTATGCGTTGTATGTGTTGCAGTTACGGTTACAAGGAATCCCTTCGTGCAACATCCACTTACCTGCAGGAGACGCAGCGGCTTCACCTTCTGGAGTCGCCATGGATGTCCCTCTCGCTCGACGAGAGCATTGACCGCATCCACGACAAACACCTCATCATCTACGTCACCTACATGAAGAACAGGGCCGTCGCCAACGAGTTCCTGACTTTGATAACCGTGGTTCGTGCTGATGCTGCTTCTCTGTCCTCCGCTGTTGTGCAGTACCTGACTGGTATTGGTGTTGACTTGCAGAAAATAACAAGCATCGCGACCGACGGCGCGAGCGTAATGGTGGGCAAGCGCAGTGGAGTGGTGGCGCGGCTCCGCATGCGTATACCTCACCTGGCGTCAACACACTGCATCGCGCATCGGTAACCCTGTTTTCTATGCACTGTACGTTTTAGTCATATAAATATGAACTCATGGTTTTTGTATTGCGCATGCAGGGAGGCACTTGCTGCAAAAGATGCCGCGGAAGCTGTCCCTGAGCTGAACATGGTCGACGATGTGGTCCGTGCGTTTTCTGAGCTTATAGGGAGGAGCGGCGTGCAGTACCAGAAGTTCCAAAATCTGCAACGAGTCTACTGCAAGACCAACCTAGAGGCGCAGGGAATACACACCGTCAGGTGGCTGTCGCGTGGCGAGGCCGTTGCCCGGCTCCTCGAGGTGTTGCCAGCCGCCATCGTCGTGCTCAATGAGTTCAAGCCCAACTTGTACGAGGTCGTGACCTCGTTCAAGTTTCATTGGTTACTACGCTTTCTCGCTGACGTCCTGTGGGAGTTGAACCACTTGAATCAGCGTTTCAAGCAAAGACAGGTCAGTTATTGAGCTCAATGTGTGCATTGAACGGTCAGTATACTGACATTTCAAACCAACAATTGCAGCGCCTTCACCACCCCACCGTCGCTTCCTTGTGCAGATCGATGTCACGCTAGTGGCGCACATCGTGGAGCAGACGCGCATGCGGCTGAAGGCGCGGTACCTGAGCGGGGCACCTGGACACACGTTTGGGAGTGGGGAGTACATGACTCTTCCCGATTTTTTCCAGAAGCACCAGAAGCAGGACAAGCGCGAGATGAAAGCTGAGGGCGTGGACTTCGACGGAAATCCGGTCTCGTTGACCTTCGTTCTGCACGAGCGGCCGTTGAAAGGGCAGGAAACCGCTGGCGACGTGACAACCTGCTATGAGCTATCGTTGAAGTTTGTCCGCGCGATTGACAAGGAACTTGAGTGGCGGATGCGCGATTTCGCCAACCTGGAGGGGTCGAAGCTGTTCCACACCGCCTCTTACCTCACCGACGACGCCAAGCGCGTAGAGGCGTTCAAGCGCTGGCTGGGCAAACTGCACAAGCTCTACCACGAGAAGCTGCCAGGTGTGCGGTGAAGTGTAGACCATCTGTCCGTTGTGATCATGTGTGTTGTTAGAGTTTGGTGGCCCATCCGCACCTTGTATTCGTCTTCTGCTGGTCTAATACGCCCCCTTCCACCCGGTGTATGCGAGTTTAGCCCTATTTGACCCCCACCCCGTACATCAGGCTTCGATTTCAAGAAGGCGAGCAACGAACTGTGGATGTTCACATCCACACTGTTCAGCCAGCACAACGGGGAGGACTTCCGACCAGGCGCTCTCGAACATGCTGCGTGACGACGGATGGCAACAGTCATTCCCCAACATCATGAAGATGTGGCAAGCCATCGCCGTTTTGCCGTTGAGCACGGTGGAATGTGAATGCGGGTTCAGCAAGCAGAACCTGATCAAGACGTGGGACAGAGGGTGCCTCTTGGACACCAGCCTGGAGCACCTCATGCGCTGTTCCCTCGTGCAGTATGAGGTGGACTGGTTTGAGGTGGTGGTTATCTTCAGGGGGGAGAAGTTGCGCAGGTCTACAAAAGACTTCACCGGCAGCAACGAGGGCAAGACCTTGTTTGCACAAGAGGATGTAGAGGGGAGTGTGCCTGTGACAAAGTAGGTGTAGTTAGTTTCATGGGAAAATGCTGAGAAGTATTGGCATTCGTAATGCAACACAAACTCAGAACAATGTGTGTGGGATTTTGCAGTAACATTCAGTGTTGGGTCCTTGCTTGCACTGACTATATCAGAGTGATTTTTTTTTTACCCTGCACCCATCAGACTTCGAAAAATTTAACCCTAGGAGCCAGAGTTGGCCACACCTGGAGCTCTGATTTGTAAGGGTGAGCCTAAACCCATTTTGGGGCCTGCTGAGGTGACATGTGCTGATGGTGGATCATACGGTATAGACTTGGCAGTGGCAATCATGGCGATCTGTACTGTACTGTTTGTACTGCTGCAGATCAACACACAGGATATTGGACAAGCACATTCGACCCAACGTAAACTAGAGAAGCTATCGGTACTGGGCTACTAGTAGCGAGGTATTTGTGAATAGGAGTATCCCGGGGCTTGCCTCCACGAGTAGTATGCAATGCGGCTCTCGTAAAAGCCTGCAATGTTGGCATGGCAATGGAGAAGCAAGGAAGCAAGGGCAGAAGGGACGACAAATGAATGACGCCAGTCTTCTTGAGTGATGGCCGGAGTCAGGCGCGCAGAGCAGACACAGAAACATAGACTTGGGTTATAAAGACAGCTGCTCTCTCAGGCAACGATCGTCTTCGTACATATGAGGAGCGCTTCAGCTACGTGGCTTTGAGGCGCCTCAAAACTAGCTATGTGGTGCCACGTAGCGTGGTGCCACATAGCGTGGTGCTGCATAGCGTGGTGCTGCATAGCGTGGTGCTGCATAGCGTGGTGCTGCATAGCGTGGTGCTGCATAGCGTGGTGCTGCATAGCGTGGTGCTGCATAGCGTGGTGCTGCATAGCGTGGTGCTTTCACACATGATGGTTGAAGTGGATACGACTCCAATAGGTGAGGTGAGGGGTCGTTAGGCCAAGTGGGAGAGGGATGCCCATCAGAGTAATAATGCCTCCTGACTGGTGGTGGGCGCTTGTAAACGTTTGGCGAGGGAAAGTGCAGGCGAGAGGTGGGGATGGGGAGAGGTGGGGATGGGGGAGAGGTGAGGATGGGTGAGGGGTGAGGAGGATGGGGGAGAGGTGGGGATGGGTGAGAGGTGAGGATGGGTGAAATGTGAGGATGGGGGAGAGGTGAGGATGGGGGAGAGGTGAGGCCACGAGGGAGAGGATGGAGGGAATGGGGAAACGGAGTGGCTCATGGTGAAATCTCACTACTGAGAGTGCGAGCAGGGCAATCCAAAAGAACAGTCCAGGAGCAGATGTAGCCCCGAACGGGAGTGCGACAAACCATACGCATCTCTCAGCGGGAGTGCGACAAACCATACGCATCTCTCAGCGGGAGTGCGACAAACCATACGCATCTCTCAGCGGGAGTGCGACAAACCATACGCATCTCTCAGCGGGAGTGCGACAAACCATACGCATCTCTCAGCGGGAGTGCGACAAACCATACGCATCTCTCAGCGGGAGTGCGACAAACCATACGCATCCTCAGCAGGAGTGCAGTAAACCAGGCGCACCCTGAGCAGGAACGCGGCACTTTGAGACTGTTCGCTGCGCACATCCTTCCCAACGGCTGAGTGAGTGGCACGACCGCAGCAGCGTGATGAGGAGATCAATACTCATTGTCCACACGCCGTGTCTTTAAAGGCCAGACAATCGCCGCAAGACTTGCGATCGCATTTGAGCTCACTAACACCTATAAACTCGCGATCGCCGTTAGACGCGCGATTGCCTTTGAACTCGCGATCGCCGTTAGACTCGCGATCGCCGTTAGAATCGCGATCGCCATTAGACTCAGCAGGCTCACCGGGCATGAGTGTGAGGAAGGCACACCGGGCATGAGTGTGAGGAAGGCTCACCGGGCATGAGTGTGAGGAAGGCTCACCGGGCATGAGTGTGAGGAAGGCTCACCGGGCATGAGTGTGAGGAAGGCTCACCGGGCATGAGTGTGAGGAAGGCTCACCAGGCATGAGTGTGAGGAAGGCTCACCGGGCATGAGTGTGAGGAAGGCTCACCGGGCATGAGTGTGAGGAAGGCGATGGCGAGGCACGTCCACTTCTGCTGCGCGCCAGCCTCCACTTGGCCCGTCTGCATGAGGTAGAAAACGGCCAGCGACGCGCACCCCAGGAACAGCAGGAAGAGCGCGAGCAGCACCGACCGCTTCGGGACGCGCCTGTGGATGTCCGGACCGGCGAAGCGGATATCCGCGTCGTTGGAGCCTCGCGCTCTTCCCGCGGTTGGCGGAGGAGCGGCAGATGCGTTTGTGGCGGGAGCAGCGTCGGAGTCTGAAGTAGGGACACGTGCATATCTAACGTGGGGTTGGGAGGCCATTAGGGCTGTTGGGACTCCGGTTTTAAAGCCCTCGCCTACAGTGGCAGATTTTCCAAAATAGCTGGGCTTGAAAAGTTGTAAGCTAGCACTAGCGGGAGATGTTTCCGTGGATTTTGACTGAGCGAAGGCGTAACGAGCCACGAGGGGAAAATGTAGGGAAGGTTGGAAACTGCACGTAGGGAAGGGGGGGGAATGCGCGTAGGGAAGGGGGGAAAATGCGCGTAGGGAAGGGGGAAAAATGCGCGGAGGGAAGGGGGGACTGCGCGGAGGGAAGGGGGGGAACTCCGCGGAAGGAAGGGGGGGAACTACGGGGAGGGAAGGGGCGGCTGCGCGGAGGGAAGGAGGGGGACTGCGCGGAGGGAAGGGGGGAACTGCGTGGAGGGAAGGGGGTGAACTGGGCGGAGGGTAGAACAGTGTAGGGAGGCGAGAGGCGGAGAGGGACAGGAGGGACCGAAGGGAAGAGAGAGAAGGGAGGGACGGGAGGGACGGAAGGGACGGGAGCAACGGGAACGATAGAAGCGACGAGAGCAATGGGCGCGACGAGAGCAATGGGCGCGACGGGAGCTTTGAAGGAGCCAGGAGCGATGGAAAGGAAAGGTGGGATCGAGAGGTGACCTGAGGGCGCGGTACAGTATTGTTCAAGAGATGTCATCTGGAACAAATTTCGGGTCACATTACTTCAGTTTGGAGACCCCTGTGGCGATCCATGCTCACAAATTCGGTGTGTAGTCCCGAACCTCAGGTGGTGTGACAATTGTGACGCGTCCTAATATAAAACCTCAAACCCGTCCCACTGCCCCAGCAACAACTTGATCAGGAGGTACGCGAAATGTGGGATGATAAACCAGGCAGATTTTAGCAGGCGTTCAGTACCTAATATCTATTGCATAACTAGCTACACGTTCACAAAAGCGCTGGATTTGCGATGGGTGTCCCGGAAAAGGCTCATTATGGTTAGGCGAACAGCGTCTCCTGGGGTGTATCAGCTTCTTTGCCTCGTGGTTGTGGTTTCCCCGTCGGCATCATGGAGTTCGCACTTCGGTTTAGGGTTCCCGCTGCTCTGCTCAGTCATCGTCACCTTGACAACGCCACGAGCAGCATTGACGGCAGGGGCATCACCACGAGCAGCACAGCGACTGACCACGGCGCTAAATCCGCGAACGAAAGAACGATCCAACAGCCAGCAGCTTCACACGTGGACTATACGATTACCGTTGATCCGCACGAACCTCTACAATCAGCGTTTGACAATCTGTTTCAGTCCCACCTGCCGCACTGCTGCCTGCCAACTCAGCAGACATGTCAGGATGACGCGGATAAGGGCAGCAGCAAGAGCGAAGAGAAGCAGGTTGTTCGATTTATGGCTGTTGGGCAAGTGGTGTACTTATCACCTTCCGTATCCTCCGACAGGGCCAGGCTTAGATCGGGTATGCTGATCCAAGTCCTAGCAGTTAGGTCAAAATTAGCGACACGGGACAATGCAGGGAACGCCAGCGACAGCACCAGCAACGTCGCAACTGACGCAGCGGTCGCTGCTGGGGCGGATGCCTTAGACCCAGCATCCGAAGACCTATCGCCAACTTCTGTCGTGAACTCCCAACTCGAGAGTTTACCTTCCCCTGCTCCAGTCTCTGCTCCAGTCTCTGCTCCAGTCTCTGCTCCAGTCTCTGCTCCAGTCTCTGCTCCAGTCTCTGCTCCAGTCTCTGCTCCAGTCTCTGCTCCAGTCTCTGCTCCACTCCCTGCTCCACTCCCTGCTCCACTCTCTGCTCCAGTCTCTGCTCCACTCTCTGCTCCACTCTCTGCTCCAGTCTCTGCTCCAGTCTCTGCTCCAGTCTCTGCTCCAGTCTCTGCTCCAGTCTCTGCTCCAGTCTCTGCTCCAGTCTCTGCTCCAGTCTCTGCTCCAGTCTCTGCTCCAGTCTCTGCTCCAGTCTCTGCTCCAGTCTCTGCTCCAGTCTCTGCTCCAGTCTCTGCTCCAGTCTCTGCTCCAGTCTCTGCTCCAGTCTCTGCTCCAGTCTCTGCTCCAGTCTCTGCTCCAGTCTCTGCTCCAGTCTCTGCTCCAGTCTCTGCTCCAGTCTCTGCTCCAGTCTCTGCTCCACTCCCTGCTCCAGTCTCTGCTCCAGTCTCTGCTCCAGTCTCTGCTCCAGTCTCTGCTCCAGTCTCTGCTCCAGTCTCTGCTCCAGTCTCTGCTCCAGTCTCTGCTCCAGTCTCTGCTCCAGTCTCTGCTCCAGTCTCTGCTCCAGTCTCTGCTCCAGTCTCTGCTCCAGTCTCTGCTCCAGTCTCTGCTCCAGTCTCTGCTCCAGTCTCTGCTCCAGTCTCTGCTCCAGTCTCTGCTCCAGTCTCTGCTCCACTCCCTGCTCCAGTCTCTGCTCCAGTCTCTGCTCCAGTCTCTGCTCCAGTCTCTGCTCCAGTCTCTGCTCCAGTCTCTGCTCCAGTCTCTGCTCCAGTCTCTGCTCCAGTCTCTGCTCCAGTCTCTGCTCCAGTCTCTGCTCCAGTCTCTGCTCCAGTCTCTGCTCCAGTCTCTGCTCCAGTCTCTGCTCCAGTCTCTGCTCCAGTCTCTGCTCCAGTCTCTGCTCCAGTCTCTGCTCCAGTCTCTGCTCCAGTCTCTGCTCCAGTCTCTGCTCCAGTCTCTGCTCCAGTCTCTGCTCCAGTCTCTGCTCCAGTCTCTGCTCCACTCCCTGCTCCACTCCCTGCTCCACTCCCTGCTCCACTCCCTGCTCCACTCCCTGCTCCACTCCCTGCTCCACTCCCTGCTCCACTCCCTGCTCCACTCCCTGCTCCACTCCCTGCTCCACTCCCTGCTCCACTCCCTGCTCCACTCCCTGCTCCACTCCCTGCTCCACTCCCTCCCTGCTGCCTCCCCCGCATGCTCCGCCCCGCCCCGCCCATCACCTTCCGCATCTCAAGCCTGGCCTCGCTGCGCAAGCACCTGCAGCAGCCCGTGGTGTCCTCCATGCCGCCTTTTTCCGCCTCGCCAACAAGCCCACGCCGCCCATCCTCGCCTACTCCGCCACCGTCCCACTCTCCGCCCCTCCTCGCCGTCTTCCAGGTTATACCAGCGGCGCCTCTACTGGCACAGCAGCGCCATCGTTGGCGCAGCAGTATCGGTGGAAGGCGGACGCAGCGCCTGTGGTTGCAGCAGAGGCCATGATGCTCGAATGGCTGGCTGAGCCACGTGTCGGCCTGCTACTGGACCTCCAGGAGATACGGCGCCAGATGGCAGAGATTATGCATATCAACGAATACGCGGCGGCACGCAGAGAAGCTAGCGCCGCGCGGGGAGCTTGTACTGCTGGTTGTGCTGCCGCACCTTTTCCTCGCGCCCTGTGGTGGTGCTGCTGGCAGTGCAGCCGGTGCTGGACGCTCTACCGCATGGCCGTGTCCATTGCTGCTTTCCTCGTGCTTGTTGCCTGGTTCCCGCGCTTCGTCACTCTCTGGCGCGCGCACCTGCGCTTTCCTGAGATGGCCTTTTCCGTATTGGCATTTCAGTTCGGAGCGGGGGCAGCAGGCGCAGGACGACTGCTTGGCGTCGCTGCTGCTGCAGGTGCTGGGAGTGAAGGGCAAGCAGCAGCTAGAGACTGGCTTTGCTGCCCGCATGCTGCCGCTGCTGCCGGGGGGGAGGGGCGCGCATGGGGAGGCGGGAGGGGCAGGAGTGAGCCGGGGTGGGAAGGGAAGAGAGGGGAAGGAGTGGAGGGAGGGGTTGAGTGGGAGGAGTATGTGCAGCGCATTGGGGAGATCTCCAACCAGGGAGGGCTGGCAGGCGAGCAGTACCGCTGCTGCTGCTCGCAGTGCTGCAAGGGCGAGAGCGCCGAGGGAAGAGCGAAGGAAGGGGCCTTGGAAGCCCAACCCGGCAGCAGCGGTGGCATGGTGATATCTGGTGCGGACTCCACCGAGTTTGCCCTCAAATGCGCCACTCTCTTCTGCCGGCCGCAGTTCGCAGTGAGAGCCGCTCTCATCTTCTCCGACTGTGCTGGCAGCCGCCACAAGGAGAATGTGGAGGACGCTGCTGTGGAGGAGGTAAGGAACCGGCTGGCTGGGGGGGAGGGGAGTGTGGAGGGGAGTGGAGTGCAGGATCGAGGGAAGCAAGCAGTGGATCCAGACGCAATGGCAACAGCTCCTGCTGCTCCTGCTGGTGCTGGGTCTGGTGCTGCAGCCAGTGGGTCTGGTGCTGCAGCCAGTGGGTCTGGTGCTGCAGCCAGTGGGTCTGGTGCTGCAGCCAGTGGGTCTGGTGCTGCAGCCAGTGGGTCTGGCGCTGCAGCCAGTGGGTCTGGTGCTGCAAGCGGCGCCGGCCTTGTCCCGGTGAACAGTAATGCGGTGGTGGCACTGTTCACTTACCGAGTCACCTGCGTGCTGCGATGGGTGCGACTCTACGGGTTCAAGGTCAACCCCGCAGACGCCTGCACCCAGCACTACATGAAAGATCCAGGCCCTTCTCTTCCCCACCAAATTCACGACCTCCCGAACCTGTTGCTCAGGTTCGGCGCCGTGCCAAAGCCGGCAGCTTCGCCAGGCCTGGAAGGCTCGGCAACGATGGGCTGGAAGGAGTTTCCGGAGGGGGACAGGGCGACAGTGGCGGCAAATTTGGAAGATCCTGGGGAGTTTATTGGACTCAAGACCTTCCAGGTGGGGGCATTTCAGGGCGGTGAGTTGGACAGGGAGGAGCTGAAGGAGTACAACGTGAGGGAGCTCAACATGCCCCTCCCAGGTACCTCCCTCGCTGCCTCGCCCAATTTCACAGGCACTCTGCGCAACAACTCGAGCGGCCCCTTCTTCCCCACACTGGGCCACCGCGTGGAGGAGTTTCTGAGAAGGTTCGCCCCTGCAAGGCTGGCAAGGGAGGGCAGGAACGGTCCTCTGGCCCGAGCTATCACCTCCTGGGCTAGCTGCATGGACCTGAAGGATCGAACCTGGGCTGCTCTGGCTCTGGGGCCGTTCGCAGAGGGCAAGATCGAGCCCATCCTACGGTCCAGAACCGAGGTGGAAATGATCGCAGAGATGATCGCAGGCGTCCTTTACCCCCGCCGGCCTGCGACCGCTGTCGGTACTGCATCAGCACGTACCAGGATACAATCACTCTCTCCTCACTCGCCGCAAACTTCGCCTACCGCCCCTCGTCCGCGCTGCTGCACTGCATCCTCTCGCTCTTTCCGCCCCGCTCAGCGCGCTTCAGAAGCTTCCTGGAATCCCTGCACGTGGCGCCGATCCCTGCGGTGGTCCCGGACTCGCTTTTGGCGCCGCTGCTGGAAGGCGTGATGGAGGAGCTTCGGCTGTTGTTTCTGTTTTGCGGCATTAAGCTCCTTGGGGAGGAGAGGAAGGTAACAAGCATTCTCGAGCCTGTCGGTCAGGACGGGGTAGGGCATGAGGAGGGATCGGGGCGGCAGGGAAGGAGGGAGGGGATTGAGGAGTGGAGGATGTGGGAGGAAGTGGACAGCTGGCGGCGGGCGACTTTTATGGCGTGGCCTGCTGTGGAGGGCCTTGGTGAGGCGGGGGTGGCTGATGGTGAGGGGGATGGGTTGGAGGAGTGCTGTGCGGCCATGAAGCGCGTGCAACAGGAGGAGAAGGTCATGGCGGAGGCACGTAGGCAAGCGGTGAGTGACTCTGTCATTGCTGCCGATGGTGCTACGAGTGGAGATGCGTATGAGGGAGGGGAAGGCCCAGAAGGGGGAGAGAGTGGGGAGGGGCGGAGGGGAATGCAGGGGCGTGGTACCTGGGGCCGTGGCCCGGGGGGGTGAATCCTCTGGCGTGCTGGAGGGAGATGCTGCTGGGGGAGACCAGCTACTGCCTCCAGGCTCAGGTGGATGCTGTTGCTGCCAGTGCTGCTGCTGCTGCTGCTGCTGCCTACCTCGGATGAGAGGCGCAGTGGCAAGGGAGGGCGGCGTGTGTGTTCGTGGGCACAGTGTGTCAGGGTGGAAGGGGCGGGCTTGCAACTCAAGCTATGTTCGCGGTGCGGCAAGGCTGCCTACTGCAGTAGGGAGTGCCAGAAGGCCCACTGGCCGTCGCACAAGCTCACTAGTCAACCCAAGGCCAAGAAGGGGGAAGATTCTTCATAGTGTGGAGATGACTTTTGAGTTGTCTCATTAGAAGAAACATACGATATTCTTGTTACAATGTCACAGGCGTCTTTTCTACAAGAAACATTATGCATGGAGGCGACCTAAACGAGTAGGCAATTACCGTATCCAATTTCTGCTCATATCGAAATTCTCTGGATGTTGGTAAGTTTTCATAGATGGCGGGTCAACCCAAAAAATCGACACACGTACACCGCCTCCTCGCACGTCATGCGATCTTCCATCTGCATCAATCCCAGCTTCCCTGCCGCTCGCACGCTACGAGTCGTCAGATCGCGCCGCTCGGTGACTTCGCACCTCCCTCGCCGTAACGGTCACACCAGCATGCACGCGACGCGGTCATGGGACGCGCACGAGCAGGCGGAAGGGCCGTCGCCGCTCAAGATGCTCCGCGGCTACCTGCTCCGCCTGCGCCACGCCGGCCCGCTGCCTGCGCGCCTTGACCCCTACCGGCGGGGGTGTGCGCGCGGGGGGGTGGCGGGCGGAATGTGGGGGACGGTGAGCGGAGACGGAGGCGGAGGGGCCGGGGAAGGCGGGGGAGAGTGGGAGGCGTGGGGAGAGGACGTCGTGGGGTTGTTCCGACAGCTGCATGAGGAACATGCGAGGAACATTCCTCTCGACCTGCTCTCGTGAGATGTCTTCCTTATGAAGAAGTAGTTTCCTTGTACGACACTCAACACCTACCGCTCCACCCACCTCACCCCTCGCCCTCACGCCCATACCCGTCTCTCGAGCATCGCCTCTGCCGTCTGGCCTCCGCCCCGACCCCCGCCGCTTGCAGCGTGTTGCGCGGATGGCTGCTGTGTCTTCTCACCCACTCTCATCGTATGGCGCTTGTGAGGCGCTTGTGTGGCGTGCCTTCCCTGCGGCTTGAAGGCCCGGTGAGGCGGACAGCACTGCCGCGCTGGGCGTGCGGGCGATGTTCTTCAGATGACATGCTGCATGCGCTCAGTCGCGTGACGGCACCTGTGCTCCCCTCCCCTCGCGTGTATGGCTGGCTTGCATGCAGGCCCGTGGTGGCGGACAGCCCTGCAGCGCTGGGCGTGCGCACGTTGTACCTCAGGATGGTGTGCTTGCAGCGTGGGGGCTCGTGCTTCCAGGTGAGGGGGGCGCACGGGACGTGAGGGCGCGAGGGATGTGAGGGGCATGGTCGCATGAGGTGCGGACATGGGGAGGGCGCGAAGCACGGCAGGGGGAGGCATGTTGCGATGCTGTGATGTTGATGATGCGGATGTGGCGAGGAGGGAGTCTTCGAGAACGCCACAGGCTGCTCGTCGCTCTCACCATATCACTGGGCTGCTCGTCGCTCTCACCATATCACTGGGCTGCTCGTCGCTCTCACCATATCACTGGGCTGCTCGTCGCTCTCACCATATCACTGGGCTGCTCGTCGCTCTCACCATATCACTGGGCTGCTCGTCGCTCTCACCATATCACTGGGCTGCTCGTCGCTCTCACCATATCACTGGGCTGCTCGTCGCTCTCACCATATCACTGGGCTGCTCGTCGCTCTCACCATATCACTGGGCTGCTCGTCGCTCTCACCATATCACTGGGCTGCTCGTCGCTCTCACCATATCACTGGGCTGCTCGTCGCTCTCACCATATCACTGGGCTGCTCGTCGCTCTCACCATATCACTGGGCTGCTCGTCGCTCTCACCATATCACTGGGCTGCTCGTCGCTCTCACCATATCACTGGGCTGCTCGTCGCTCTCACCATATCACTGGGCTGCTCGTCGCTCTCACCATATCACTGGGCTGCTCGTCGCTCTCACCATATCACTGGGCTGCTCGTCGCTCTCACCATATCACTGGGCTGCTCGTCGCTCTCACCATATCACTGGGCTGCTCGTCGCTCTCACCATATCACTGGGCTGCTCGTCGCTCTCACCATATCACTGGGCTGCTCGTCGCTCTCACCATATCACTGAGCTGCTCGTCGCTCTCACCATATCACTGGGCTGCTCGTCGCTCTCACCATATCACTGGGCTGCTCGTCGCTCTCACCATATCACTGGGCTGCTCGTCGCTCTCACCATATCACTGGGCTGCTCGTCGCTCTCACCATATCACTGGGCTGCTCGTCGCTCTCACCATATCACTGGGCTGCTCGTCGCTCTCACCATATCACTGGGCTGCTCGTCGCTCTCACCATATCACTGGGCTGCTCGTCGCTCTCACCATATCACTGGGCTGCTCGTCGCTCTCACCATATCACTGGGCTGCTCGTCGCTCTCACCATATCACTGGGCTGCTCGTCGCTCTCACCATATCACTGGGCTGCTCGTCGCTCTCACCATATCACTGGGCTGCTCGTCGCTCTCACCATATCACTGGGCTGCTCGTCGCTCTCACCATATCACTGGGCTGCTCGTCGCTCTCACCATATCACTGGGCTGCTCGTCGCTCTCACCATATCACTGGGCTGCTCGTCGCTCTCACCATATCACTGGGCTGCTCGTCGCTCTCACCATATCACTGGGCTGCTCGTCGCTCTCACCATATCACTGGGCTGCTCGTCGCTCTCACCATATCACTGGGCTGCTCGTCGCTCTCACCATATCACTGGGCTGCTCGTCGCTCTCACCATATCACTGGGCTGCTCGTCGCTCTCACCATATCACTGGGCTGCTCGTCGCTCTCACCATATCACTGGGCTGCTCGTCGCTCTCACCATATCACTGGGCTGCTCGTCGCTCTCACCATATCACTGGGCTGCTCGTCGCTCTCACCATATCACTGGGCTGCTCGTCGCTCTCACCATATCACTGGGCTGCTCGTCTCTCTCACCATATCACTGGGCTGCTCGTCGCTCTCACCATATCACTGGGCTGCTCGTCGCTCTCACCATATCACTGGGCTGCTCGTCGCTCTCACCATATCACTGGGCTGCTCGTCGCTCTCACCATATCACTGGGCTGCTCGTCGCTCTCACCATATCACTGGGCTGCTCGTCGCTCTCACCATATCACTGGGCTGCTCGTCGCTCTCACCATATCACTGGGCTGCTCATCGCCAAGTGCTGCTCGTCTCTCGTGCTTGCCTGGGTGCTGCGAGCCACGCCACACTGCAGGAGCAGGGCCTGTCAGGAGCTTCTAAGGCGGCGCTGAGCACCATGGGCCCCGTGAGCTGACTGCTTTCCTCCCTGCGCTCATCTCGAGCATCAACAAGCCCCCTATCCAAACACCATTCGTTCCCCCCTCCAACCACACCTCCTCTGTGCATGGAGTGCAGTCCAACATGCTGTTCGCATGGGTGCTCCGCCACCACCTCGCCTGCCAGGTCGACCTCCTGCCCGCCCTCTCCTGCCACTCGCCACACTCCCCCCAGCTCCACCACTGCCCGCCCTCCTCCTCCGTTCCCTCCTCCCATCCACCGCCAGCACCCACTGCTGCATCCTCTGCTGCCTCCAAAGCTACCGTGAATGCTGCCTCGCCAACCACGGCATCATCCGCGGATCATGCTGCTGCCAGCGAGGCTCGCCTCTCATCTCTTGCTGACTCAGCGCAGCGGCCTGTCCAGTCAGCGAGTTCAGCTGCCTCGTCAGCAAGCGCAGAGCAGGCCGATCATGTACGACGTGAGTGAGCCATCTCACTTGGCTCTTCCTATCCCTTACTGCCCTGTACCCACACACCCACCCACCCACCCACCCACACACCTACCCACACACCCACCCACACACCCACCCACACACCCACCCACACACCCACCCACACAGTCACCCACCCACCCAACCACACACCCAACCACCCACCCACCCACCCACCCACCCACCCACACACTCACCCACCCACCCACCCACACACACACCCCACACACTCACCCACCCACACACCCACCCACCTAGCCGCCAACCAGCTACCCACTCAACAACCCAACCAACCACCCATTTCATGTCATTTAAAATTCCTCACCCCTCCCGATTCGTCACTCTGCCGGTCTCACACTTGTCGTACAAATTCATTCTATTTCGTCCACTCTCAAGCCCTTCCCCTTCCATGCACTCCCACCCACGCCCTCCCTCCAACCCCACCCCATTCTGTCAGAAGCCCTCCCACCGCATGTGCTTTCATGCATGCACATGCCCTCTAACCCCGCATTGCCCCACCTCCCCTCCCCCTCACCGCACACAGATGTGTCTGCTGGTTCACATCAACGGCATGGCATGGCTAGCTGACGTCAGCACGCCCTGCTGCCCCAGCAGCCTGCTTCCCCACGCCATGTTCCTGCAGCCGCTGCTCTTCCAACCCGGCATCCTCCAGGCACGCCCCTCCTTTCCCTCTCCTCCAATCTTTGAGACGTCTCAAAATTTCACTGTATACGCATGGCTTCCCCACCCTATGTTCGTGCAGCCGGGCTTCCAACCTGGCATCCTCCAGGCACGCCCCTCCTCTCCCTCTCCTCCATTCTCCGTTCATTACACACGTCCCTTCATGCCTTGCTGTGCTGTGCGACTCCCACTTCCACTCACTCTCTCTCCTCACCCAAGCGTTTCCTCTCCAGCTCACTTCTCAATCCCACCACTCCTTTCCCCCACAGCACCAGGGCGCAGGGGTGTATTGAATATCCCCACCCCGCCCCACCCATTCTCAGTACTCGCACACGCCTTTTCCCTCCATGCCACCTCTCAATCCCACCACTCCTCTCCCTCACAGCACCAGGACGCGGGGGTGTACCGCATATCCCCATGCCCCCCGCCCCACCCGCCAGCACCTGCTAGTGCAGCCCGTTGGGAGCATGGACGGGGTGCAGACGGCTGGGAGAAGGCAGCAGCAGCAGTAGCAGCAGCGGACAGAGGCACGGAGGGATGGAGGGCGGTAGAAAGAAGAGTGCACGGGTTGGCAGTGGAGCACGTCGAGGCAGGAATGGATGGGTGCATGGCTGAGGGGACTGCTGGCTGGCACGCACATCCAAGTTCAGATACCAATGACGATGATGATGATGATGATGACTTCTACATGCAAGGTGTGCGTGTTGAGGCAACAGCGTGCCCACCGCGGCTCTCGCATGCTACAGGTGGACAGGTAGAAGCAGCAGCGGTGAGGGCAGGTGAGCAGTGGTATGCGGTGGAGAGACTGTGCCGCGTGGGGCCCAGTGAAGCAGGCGGGAGATGGGCAGGAGAAGATGGAGAGCAGGCAGCATGGGGGGAGGCTGCTTGTGAGGAGGAGGCACGGTGGCAGGCGCTGTATCGCTTCTCCTCGTGGCCGGGTGACGCAGATCACTTCCTCCAGGTGCTCCCACCTCGCCCTTCGCCGCCCCCTCACCTCCTTCCCTCCTGCCTGTGCCATGGAGTCACGCACAAAGCAAGCATGCCAGGGCACCAGCCTTTGTACAGCTGCCTGCGCGCATCTATACCCGCCCCTCCCACCCACTGCTTTTAGCCAGCCCTTTCTCCTGCCCCTTCTCTTCCTGCCCTGCCCTCCCTTCCTGCCACTGCTGCTCTCGGCAGTGCATGCGCCATGCCTCCCCCCTGAGTGGGCCGCGGGTGGCGGTGCGCCTGTGCGGCGACGGGGAGGGGGAGGGGGAGGGGGGAGGTAGGGGGGTGATTCGCGAGATGATTCATGACCGGCACTTGCTGCTGCTGGATGGCGACGGGCGCGTGCAGGTGAGAGGGGCGCGTGCAGGTGAGAGGGGCGCGTGCAGGTGAGAGGGGCGCGTGCAGGTGAGAGGGGCGAGTGCAGGTGAGAGGGGCGAGTGCAGGTGAGAGGGGCGAGTGCAGGTGAGAGGGGCGAGTGCAGGTGAGAGGGGCGCGTGCAGGTGAGGGGCGAGTGCAGGTGAGAGGGGCGAGTGCAGGTGAGAGGGGCGAGTGCAGGTGAGAGGGGCGAGTGCAGGTGAGAGGGGCGAGTGCAGGTGAGAGGGGCGAGTGCAGGTGAGAGGGGGGAGTGACGGTCGGGGTTAGGTAAGGTTTGGTAAGGCAAGTAAGAGTGGAAGGCATGTAAGGGTGAGGAGGGTACAAATATATTGCGATAGTGAGCTGCTGCACTATACCGTAGGGTAGGTGGGGTGCACTATACGTGGAATGGCCTCTGGAACTCTCCAATCATGGCACGTTTGCTACCCATGATGCACTATGTGGTGCAAGCTGTGGTGCTTTGCTGCCCAGTCCATGCAAAGGTCCAGCGATGACGCATCGTGGACTGTCAACTTCGTGAATTCACTAGTTTGTAGTGAAGACATTGGGTACTTGGTTTCCTTGATCCAAGAACGCTCCTTGCCATGGAAAAACTAGGCCTTAACTCCTTCCAGAACCAAAGCCTTTTCCCGCCTCTCCCAACCCCAACCCCTTTCTCTCGCCCACTCCATCCCCTTGCATCCCCTTTCTCCCTTGATCAGCAGCAGCAGCAGCTGGCTACAGACGAGGAGTTCAGTGCGGTGGTGAGGGGTCGGTTTGGCATCCGGCTGGGGGCAGACGATGTGATTGCAATGCCTCCTGTGCGCAGGGAGCCGCCACTTGGCGACGCTTGGTTGGCCAGCGAGTGGTGAAGGTTGCACGATGTTGGATTGCATTGAGATGTGATTTGAAAGCACCAGAGGTGTGGTGTGACAGCCATTGACCAGTCCGTTGCTAGCAAGTACCAATCTGTTTTGTGCATTCTAATGTGGAACAAGAAGTAACCGTTTCAAGAAAATGCATGCAGATAATGCGTTTGGTGGACGTTGAAAGCAGTTTTCACCTGATGAGAAAGTGCATTCATATTGATATACGTAGTTCGGCCAAATATTGCTCTTTTACCGCATCCCATCCCTTCAGTAGCTAAGCTACTGACGAATCGCCCTATTTCCTAGTCGTGTGCTCCGCCGAACACGGGTAGGCATCGGAGGCTGCTATTTGCTGACGAGGCATGCACCAACGTAGCTCACCCTGGTTTTCACCCTCATCCTGCCTGGTTCCCCGCGCCGCTCTCCTTTCAATCCGCGTTACCACTCGTGTCGCGAGCATCTCGTTGCGCTCTCTCCTTGCCCCACGTCACCGTGAATGGGAAGCTTCCGCGTAGCCCCTCCTCATAATTAATCGCGCAGCTCGTCGCATCACAACTAGGGCGTGTTCACATGCACTGAATCCACGGCGGGCTGGGCTCTCGCCATGCGTGCAACGGCTGCGCGTCTGTCGTCTCTCTGCCAGCGCAGCCTCGTCCGACCACTTTCTTCGCTGCCCCGAACTTCGAGGTCCGAAGACATCCGAACCACCTCGCCCGAGCGTCAGCAGGCTCGGCATTGTGGCTCTTACTCTACCCCGTCGAGCCTAGCCAGACGTCCAGCCCGGTCTTACTGTGGGAAGGACGCGAAGCTTCCGATTGGCTGGCGAGGAGAGAGCTTGCGGAGGATGACGTCAGCCGTGACAAATGGCGAGCCACGTCAGGCTGACGTGGACGAGTTCCAAGAGTGCCTGTCGCGAGCATCGGTGAGACCTGCGGTTTGGTGCCGCGAGTGGCTTGGGTGGAGGCGGGGTGTGGTTTGAGGGGAGGGGGGGGAAGATTAACGAGGTGGTGGGGGAATGAAAGGGACTACTACCGGCACACCAACACGTGGTGTTGTGCGGCCTGGCCGTCTAGACGTATGGGGCAAATGTGCCCCCCACAACGGCGTTCCTGAAGCTGCTGGCCACAGCACCAGCTAGGAACCGGCTCAGGGCGAACCCCTTGGCGAAATCCGCCAAGAAAATGGCTTGCCGCTGGAGCCAGCGCTGGGCCGTGGCACTCCAGCGCTCCCAGGCGAACGCCATGCACAGCAAGGCACGTGCAGGGATATGGTGGTGGTAGTCCCTTTCCTTGAGGCGGCGCACCCCCAGATGGCAGCGTACCCGCGGCCGCTGCACGTGGGGGACGCCGTCCGCATGCTGGAGGGTTCGAGTGAACACAAGGGGGGGACAGGGGGGGAAAGCGGGTTCAGCTTAGCACCGGATAACTCTGCATGTTTGTACCCTGCCTGAATTAATACAAAGGACCGTTTGAGGGGGTGGGGTGATTTGGATGGGGCGCACTTGAGAGCAGTCCAATGAGAGATGTGCCATGTCCAATGAGAGCAGGGAAGGGGGGAAGCATAAGAGGAGGTGCGCAGGGCCCCGAGTATGTGTAATCGAAAGATGAGTGCTACTAGTGTACTCTTATTCCATCTGCCAGTCGTTACAGGGGAACTGCTCCTGTCTCACCGTCCCTCCACCGCCCCTTGCCTCCCTCCACCGCCCCTTGCCTCCCTCCACCGCCCCTTGCCTCCCTCCACCGCCCCTTGCCTCCCTCCACCGCCCCTTGCCTCCCTCCACCGCCCCTTGCCTCCCTCCACCGCCCCTTGCCTCCCTCCACCGCCCCTTGCCTCCCTTTGCCACCCCTTGCCTCCCCGGCAGCGCGTGGCGGTGCTGACAGGGGCGGGGTTGTCTGCAGCATCAGGCGTGCCCACGTTCAGAGGGGCGGGGGGTCTCTGGCGCACCTATGATGCCACGGTGGGTGCCATGCCACGGTGGGTGCCATGCCACGGTGGGTGCCATGCCATGGTGCTGGTGGATGGTGGGCTATGGGGGATCACTCGCATCGCATGCCACTGTGCGGCACTCACAAGGCCATGTCAAATGCCTATCCTCTTCCCTCCTTCATGCTTCACACGCCCTCGCTCCTCTCGCCCCCTGCGCACCTCTCATCCATGGTGCCCGCAGGAGCTGGCAACCCCACAGGCGTTTGCGGCTGACCCGTCCCTGGTGTGGGAGTTCTACCACTACCGCAGGTGTGTGCCCTTGTTGTGTTGTCACCCCATCTGCACGTTCACACGTGCACTTCAACTATCAAGTTGTCTGCCACCACTGCCGCTCACTCTCCTCTTTTATCAATGACATGTTCCCGTGCTGATGTCTGCCAAGCATCAGCACGTCAGCATATCCTTCTAGTCATGCAAAGAGTTGCGGCATTGTAGAGTACTGAGTAGGATGCATAACGCGCGAACCACCACATAGATGGTTTTTAAAGTCCCTTCAATGCACGCGCTTCATTTCTGTTTTATATCTCCACAGTTGTGTGTGCCCAGGCTCTTTTGCTTTTCCTCTGGCTGTCTCCCTCTGCCACTCTCCCTGGTCCCTTCCCCTCCCCCAATCCCCCCTCCCTTTCCCCTTGCCCTCATCCCGCCTGTCTGTCTGGCAGGAGTGTGGTGGCACGGTGCGCACCCAATGCGGGCCACAGGGCGTTGGTGCAGTTGGAGCAGCGCTGCCAGCGGGAGGGCAAAGCCTTCACGCTCCTCACACAGGTGCCCCTGTCCCTCTGCCGCCCTTGGAGTCTGTGCTGCAAGTGCCGCGTGTGGCGCATGTTGCTTGTCCACTGCTTTACGGCCTACATGTCGTGATGCCCCCATGTCCTCATCGCTGATGCCCCCATGTCCTCATTGCTGATGCCCCCATGTCCTCATTGCTGATGCCCCCATGTCCTCATCGCTGATGCCCCATGTCCTCATTGCTGATGCCCCCATGTCCTCATCCCCGCATGCTCCCATTGCAATGTGGACGGCCTACCATGCCCACCCCAGCAAGTGGCTTTTGCGAGATGCTTTCACCACTCCGCTCTCCTGCCCCTCTTGTCACTCGCGCTCTCCTGCCCCTCTTGTCACTCGCGCTCTCCTCTTGCCTCCATGGTCCTTCATGCACTGTTCGCTGCGCATTGGCATCATGCCCACCATCACTCCTCATCGCCCCTCACCACCCACTGGCACCCCTCAGAACGTGGACGGGCTGCACACAGCGGCGGGCAGCAGCGCACTGGTGGAACTGCACGGCTGCCTCTGGCGCACCCGCTGCCTCACCTGTGGTGACATCACAGAGAACCGCACTCAACCCATCTGCGCTGCTCTGGAGGGCAAGGTAGTGGGAGGTGATAGGGATGAGGGGAATCGGGGACAGGTGGGAAGTGGGTGTGGGGGGTTGAGGGGCGGCCAGGGAAGAGTGCGGTGGGCCAGGGAAGAGTGCGGTGGGCCAGGGAAGAGTGCGGCGATAGAAGTGGGGGGGGAATGAAGAGAGTTCAGTGATGGAAGTTTTCTGGGGGATGAAAGTGTGCTGGTACAGTCAGTTGCTCAACTTGTTCCTGCCAATTCCCTATCACATCTTGTCGCACCATCACCTGCCACTCCATAGCGCACTCTCACATCATCCCACCCACACATGCTGCCATCCCACCCACACATGCTGCCATCTCAACCACCCGTGCTGCCATCCCAACCACCCGTGCTGCCATCCCAACCACCCGTGCTGCCATCCCAACCACCCGTGCTGCCATCCCAACCACCCGTGCTGCCATCCCAACCACCCGTGCTGCCATCCCAACCACCCGTGCTGCCATCCCAACCACCCGTGCTGCCATCCCAACCACCCGTGCTGCCATCCCAACCACCCGTGCTGCCATCCCAACCACCCGTGCTGCCATCCCAACCACCCGTGCTGCCATCCCAACCACCCGTGCTGCCATCCCAACCACCCGTGCTGCCATCCCAACCACCCGTGCTGCCATCCCAACCACCCGTGCTGCCATCCCAACCACCCGTGCTGCCATCCCAACCACCCGTGCTGCCATCCCAACCACCCGTGCTGCCATCCCAACCACCCGTGCTGCCATCCCAACCACCCGTGCTGCCATCCCAACCACCCGTGCTGCCATCCCAACCACCCGTGCTGCCATCCCAACCACCCGTGCTGCCATCCCAACCACCCGTGCTGCCATCCCAACCACCCGTGCTGCCATCCCAACCACCCGTGCTGCCATCCCAACCACCCGTGCTGCCATCCCAACCACCCGTGCTGCCATCCCAACCACCCGTGCTGCCATCCCAACCACCCGTGCTGCCATCCCAACCACCCGTGCTGCCATCCCAACCACCCGTGCTGCCATCCCAACCACCCGTGCTGCCATCCCAACCACCCGTGCTGCCATCCCAACCACCCGTGCTGCCATCCCAACCACCCGTGCTGCCATCCCAACCACCCGTGCTGCCATCCCAACCACCCGTGCTGCCATCCCAACCACCCGTGCTGCCATCCCAACCACCCGTGCTGCCATCCCAACCACCCGTGCTGCCATCCCAACCACCCGTGCTGCCATCCCAACCACCCGTGCTGCCATCCCAACCACCCGTGCTGCCATCCCAACCACCCGTGCTGCCATCCCAACCACCCGTGCTGCCATCCCAACCACCCGTGCTGCCATCCCAACCACCCGTGCTGCCATCCCAACCACCCGTGCTGCCATCCCAACCACCCGTGCTGCCATCCCAACCACCCGTGCTGCCATCCCAACCACCCGTGCTGCCATCCCAACCACCCGTGCTGCCATCCCAACCACCCGTGCTGCCATCCCAACCACCCGTGCTGCCATCCCAACCACCCGTGCTGCCATCCCAACCACCCGTGCTGCCATCCCAACCACCCGTGCTGCCATCCCAACCACCCGTGCTGCCATCCCAACCACCCGTGCTGCCATCCCAACCACCCGTGCTGCCATCCCAACCACCCGTGCTGCCATCCCAACCACCCGTGCTGCCATCCCAACCACCCGTGCTGCCATCCCAACCACCCGTGCTGCCATCCCAACCACCCGTGCTGCCATCCCAACCACCCGTGCTGCCATCCCAACCACCCGTGCTGCCATCCCAACCACCCGTGCTGCCATCCCAACCACCCGTGCTGCCATCCCAACCACCCGTGCTGCCATCCCAACCACCCGTGCTGCCATCCCAACCACCCGTGCTGCCATCCCAACCACCCGTGCTGCCATCCCAACCACCCGTGCTGCCATCCCAACCACCCGTGCTGCCATCCCAACCACCCGTGCTGCCATCCCAACCACCCGTGCTGCCATCCCAACCACCCGTGCTGCCATCCCAACCACCCGTGCTGCCATCCCAACCACCCGTGCTGCCATCCCAACCACCCGTGCTGCCATCCCAACCACCCGTGCTGCCATCCCAACCACCCGTGCTGCCATCCCAACCACCCGTGCTGCCATCCCAACCACCCGTGCTGCCATCCCAACCACCCGTGCTGCCATCCCAACCACCCGTGCTGCCATCCCAACCACCCGTGCTGCCATCCCAACCACCCGTGCTGCCATCCCAACCACCCGTGCTGCCATCCCAACCACCCGTGCTGCCATCCCAACCACCCGTGCTGCCATCCCAACCACCCGTGCTGCCATCCCAACCACCCGTGCTGCCATCCCAACCACCCGTGCTGCCATCCCAACCACCCGTGCTGCCATCCCAACCACCCGTGCTGCCATCCCAACCACCCGTGCTGCCATCCCAACCACCCGTGCTGCCATCCCAACCACCCGTGCTGCCATCCCAACCACCCGTGCTGCCATCCCAACCACCCGTGCTGCCATCCCAACCACCCGTGCTGCCATCCCAACCACCCGTGCTGCCATCCCAACCACCCGTGCTGCCATCCCAACCACCCGTGCTGCCATCCCAACCACCCGTGCTGCCATCCCAACCACCCGTGCTGCCATCCCAACCACCCGTGCTGCCATCCCAACCACCCGTGCTGCCATCCCAACCACCCGTGCTGCCATCCCAACCACCCGTGCTGCCATCCCAACCACCCGTGCTGCCATCCCAACCACCCGTGCTGCCATCCCAACCACCCGTGCTGCCATCCCAACCACCCGTGCTGCCATCCCAACCACCCGTGCTGCCATCCCAACCACCCGTGCTGCCATCCCAACCACCCGTGCTGCCATCCCAACCACCCGTGCTGCCATCCCAACCACCCGTGCTGCCATCCCAACCACCCGTGCTGCCATCCCAACCACCCGTGCTGCCATCCCAACCATCCGTGCTGCTATCCCCATCCCCCTCACCCTCGTCTCCGCTGCTCCCACCGCTCCTCCAAATCCCTCATACCACACCACATTCTGCCACCCGTTCCATCTCCCCTCCATCCTCCTTGTCTGTCCACTCCTTGCACGCCTGCTCCTGAACCTCCATCCCTTCGCACTCCCCTCGTCAACCCCGCGCTCTGCTGCAGGGAGCGCCCAGTGAGGGTGCCAAGGCAGCAAGCATTCCTCTCAAGGACCTGCCGCGCTGCACCAAGCTGCCTGAAGGTGTAGCCTCGGGCCGAGCCTGCAATGGGTTGCTGCGGCCGGACGTGGTGTGGTTCGGAGAGTGTCTGGATCAGCGGGTGGTGCAAGAAGCAGAGGGCGCCATGACTGGCTGCGACCTGCTGCTCGTTGTTGGCACCTCGGGAGTTGTGCATGTGAGGCAGTGTGCATGTGAGGCGGTGTGCATGTGAGGCGGTGTGCATGTGAGGCGGTGTGCATGTGAGGCGGTGTGCATGTGAGGCGGTGTGCATGTGAGGCGGTGTGCATGTGAGGCGGTGTGCATGTGAGGCAGTGTGCTTGTTTCATTGGATGTTACCACTTTTTATCTTCAACTCTCCAGTCACCTCCTGCCCCGCCCCCCTGTGTCCTCACAGTCACCTGCAACTCCTTCCACCCCTGGTCCTCTGTCCCATTCAGCTCATCTTCTCATCCTCATTCCTGCCTTGCTCATCCCTGTAGCCAGCACTAGGGTGCGTCAGGCCAGTGAGGCAGTCAGTGGGTCGGGTTGCTGCCGTGTGGCAGCACTAACCCCACCCGCTCTCATCCTCCCATCTCACCGTGTTCCATCCCCTCGCACTCGCTGCAGCCAGCAGCGGGGTATGTGAGGGCAGTGCGGGCGGCAGGGTGGCAGGTGGCGGAGTTCAACGCGGAAGCCACGGCGCTCTCCCCTCTCGCCACCTGGAAGTTCCCTGGGGACTCCGCCACGCTGCTGCCACTCGTGCTGGGGGTGAATGGAAGAGGGGGTGGTGACAACAGTGTAAATAGGCCTGAATTTGCTACCAGGAATTGTTGAGGCTTGATCATCAGCCACACATGCAACTAGGGCCTCAGATTCGTCAGATTACCGTATCATTGTACATTAAAATGCCCGAGACAAATATTAGGTGATGTATTGTCATGCACTGCTCTCCAGAAGTACAACACATGCACCACCAGTGTAGACCATATTACACTATATATGCTGATAACCTGTACCGTACAATAAGGCCGACTATACTACAAACTACATCAACCAGCATGTCACAAGACGAATTCAGGTGAATCTTGCGATGCCATATACAAGATATCAGCAGACCTTGAGGGCCATCTTTTTGGAGATTCTAGCACCCGGTGAAACGTTGTGTACGATACTCTCGAGAAACCGCAGCCAGGTGACATTGAAATTGACTCACGAGCCACCCTGGAAGCACCTACGGTATTGCTGGGCCACATGCTTCCTCCTCTGCTGCAGATCTTGCTTGGTGTTTCGATCTTCGAGCCATATTTCAGGCGACTGAAAGGGTCGTTTGCGTTCTCCAATAATTCAATTTCGACCTGCATGGATGCATGAACACCAAACCATGGGAAGCCAGAAACAACTCCTTGGGTGATCAGAAACTTCTACATGGTGAGTCTAAGACGGATTATGCCCTAATAGACGGTGACACATGCCTGGCATGCAACGCGAGCACATTTTGTGAAAATGCTTACGCATCAGCCGATACAGTACAGGAAATCGGTGAGTGTACCTGTAGGTCTCGTATGTGAGAGAGGGCAGACTCCACCATTGTGGCTGTATCGAGTTGTGCTCTTGTGAGAGATGCGGGTAGCACCCTACGAAGCTTCTCCAGACCTCTCCTGACACAATCACATCCAATATATGCACAAGATTCAAATTAAGTCACGTGCTCACTTGATACAGGCCTCACACACAAGTAACTCAGTTCTCACACACAAGTAACTCAGTTCTCACACACAAGTAACTCAGTTCTCACACACAAGTAACTCAGTTCTCACACACAAGTAACTCAGTTCTCACACACAAGTAACTCAGTTCTCACACACAAGTAACTCAGTTCTCACACACAAGTAACTCAGTTCTCACACACAAGTAACTCAGTTCTCACACACAAGTAACTCAGTTCTCACACACAAGTAACTCAGTTCTCACACACAAGGCTGACTGCCGACTGAACGTTCAATCAATGCGAATAGCAGAGGTGGGGGAGGGGACGAGGTGGGGGAGGGGAAGAGGAGGGGGAGGGGAAGAGGAGGGGGAGGGGAAAGAAGAGGAAGGAGAAATCTGTAGTGGACAGGGGGAGAGGAGAAAGAGAATGGGGCGGGTGGTGGTGGAGGAGGAGGGTGGAAAGGGACAAGAGGAGGGAACAAAGGGGAGCAAACAGCGGGGTGGTTAGAGAGGAAAGGAGGGAAACAGAGGGGAAGGCGTTTTGCAAGAAAATGGTCACCTGATGCGATCACGGTGGTGCCTCTCCTTCATGCTCCTGGCCTGTATGCACCCCAGCCCCACCGCCTGCCCATCCAATCGCGCTCGAATGCGCGGTCGCCAGTCCTCCCCTTCCCACCCGACCTCCTTCCGCTTTGCCTCTTTCACTCCCGTCTCTTCCTTTCTCCCCGCCCACTCTGCCTTAATCACTTCCCTCTCGTCCGCTACTCCCCTCGCTTTCGACCACTGCAGCTCTTTCTCCGAACCAATCAGGGGCGTCCACGTGGCAGGAAGCTCTTGCACTGTCACGGCGTGACCCCTTTCACCCTCCTCCTCATGACAATCACCAGGAGTGGCAGCAGGTGAACAGCAAGCATCAGCACAGGCAGGCGTGCAGCAAACACCAGGACCGTTTCGCGTGAAGAAAGCAGGGAGCGGACAGGCAGCAGCAGCAGCAGTTGCAGCAGCAAGGCGTGATGCTGGGGAGGCTGCAAAAGGTGCCTCGTCGTGTGAGTTAAGGCAGGCGCTGGCTGGCCCGGTAAGGCCGCCTGGCAATGCCGGGTCCATGCTGTTGCTCCCTTGTCGCTCATGTACTGTGCTCCTTAAAGACGCCTCAAAACAACAGCTTTGCATCATCCCTCCCTCCTGCATCATCGCTCCCTCAGTCCCTCCACCCCACATCATCCCTCCCTCCTGCATCCCCCCATCCTGCAGCATCAAAGCTTCAAGCATCATCATTCCCTCCAGCATCCCCCCCTCCTCCTGGCTTGCTCCTAAGCATCCACCCTTCTCCAGCTGCTTCGGGAAAGGCAGAGATGATTTCTCCACCTCAGCGTGCCCATGAGGATACTCAAGACTCTCATGCACAGAAGAATGTCCCATCCCCCCTTGCTCCTCCATTTGTATCTGCACCTGTGCGAAAAGGGCGGCATGTGCAGATTCTCTTATTAAATCGGGCGGCAGAGTCAGCCCTGCCAGCTCAGCCTGTGCCACCCAGCTTCTGATCGCCACTTGTTGCTGTCGCACGAGAGAGGCCGATGCTGCTGAATATCGATCAATGGTGTTGTTATCACCAAAGCCTGTTGCCACCATACTCTTAACTCTGCTCGCTGCAAATCTTTCAGTACTAGTAGTGAGATTATCACCATTAACGCCTGCTACCGCCATACTGTCTGTTCCGGAGGCGCTCAAAGCACGTGCAATCCAGCTCCCTACTGCCACTTGCTCCTGCCGCCGCTGCTGCCGCCGCTGCCGTTGCTCTTCTTGATACAGCTCTGCCACGGCTCGTTCCAGAGCAGGGACTTGAGCATGTGACTGGGACGGAGACAGCACGGGCTCCTGGGGATTCGCAGGCAGCCGACGCTGATACATGCAAGGCGCCATGGCGAGCTCCTCAAGCTTTCCCTGGCGCCTCAACAGCACCTGGCCAGTGCTCTCATTCGCGCCTTGAGGCACCTCGACAAGTGGGCTGGGCGGATCCATGACGGCGGCTATGATGGGGGCTTTTACAACTTGTTGCTGGCGCCTCACCAGCTCCGCCAAGACACCACTCTCCTCCTCCTCATTTCCTATCTGCGATTCTTGAGGCGACTCGAAGGTAAGTGGCCCGTGGCGCCTCAACAGCTCCGCCAAGAGACCACTATCCTCCTTTTCCGTCAAGAGACGTCGCTTGTCCATCTCTGCAGGTCAATTTTCTCTGCTTTGCTAGGGATGCTTCGGTGAAGGTCACTGGGAGGTGTTACTCACTCCTGGTGCGGAGCTACCAAGAAATACAAGGCAGCAAAGTCGACCTTCGGCTGCAGCAGGCGAATCTACGTGAAAGCCAAGAAGCGATTGTGAGACCTCTAGCACGGATTACAGATGTGAGGGACTGGGAGTAAACGTTTACGGAACAGAGGAGAAAAACGGTGAGCGTTAGAACCGACGTAGCTTCAACGCCTCCCTTACTACTCCTTCCGAAGAGTCCCCTCCTGATACATGGATGTGTACCAGGGCCGCAGTTGCCCCACGATTTGAAGGCGATAAGGAGAGGGCGAGGCTGCTGGTAACACCCGGGAGGGCGCCGCCCCCCCCCCCCCCCCCCTCCCTCCCTCCCTCCCTCTCCCGAAGAGAGCTCCTGGAAACGCGGAACTGCGACTCGCAGAGCTTCCACCATTGCGAGCCACCTCCCGCAGCCGCGAGCCACAACCACAGTGTCAGCTACTATGGAGCACATTCTTTAATGCGGGACGCCGAGGTCTGTCACGCCGGGATGGCAACTCTACAGCCCCGATCTGTCTCGACGCGGGGTTTTGGTCGTCGTTTGCCTATTGAGGCGCCGATAAGGCATGAGACTGGCATCGCAACCTCGCACAAGGCGGCGGCAGGGTGCTACTAGGAATCGTCTGTATCTAACGGAGAACGACGGATTTCTGTTGCATTGAACCGATTGGCTTTGGCGTCGAGCGAGTGTGCGTCATCACCTACACGCGACGCGCATCGGGGGGCGAAAAATCTAGAACGTGTCCTACTATACTCGTTTCTCATTCGTCGCTGAATCCGAGGATTCCCAACTCGACGTAACACGTGAACGCGGAGGGCAATGACGAGAAGCTCACGGGAGCAGGATGATAGCGCCACGTGATGGGCTATCGTCACGGAATTTGTCGGGAAATAACGGAAGGGGCGAAGGCAAGTTCGTCCAGATTTTCGACCACGTGATAAGAAGGTCGAACAGTCTCCAGCTTCAGTTCCTGCGGCTCTTGCTCTGCTCTCCTGCCTCATGCTTCTCCCGCACCTTCGCGCCTAGTTGACAAGGCAAAATGCCTCATCCACGTCACGAAACGAAGCATCGGTTCCCTTGTTGCCCATCCCTTGCGGTGTGAGCTGGCGGATCTAAGAGTTTTGAGAGCGCAGACGCGGGTAGTAAGGGAGTGAAGGGGCGGCGCTGTAAGGACGTGTGGTTCGCCAATGCTCGTCTGTATGCTAAAGGAAGTCCCTCCTCGCGGCGCGATTACAAAAGAATGTTCTATGATTACTAGTTGGGTTGGGCGGCGCGAGGCACAACCCTCTCCAGGTATTGTCGGCCGATACAAGACACTCAGAATATCTACCGTCTGACCCGAGCAGAGATTGTCGTGCATACGACTGAGGGCTTGTGAGCCATAAATGTTAACTCCTTGCAGCCCGTTTTCTCTTCACAGGCACACCACCTTTTCTTCAAAATAAATGAGCATGCTTCTAAGAAGTAGAGGATTCATCCTTAGAAGCACGGAATGAAACGGAGAGGGAAGCGAGAATTTCAAGCAGGTTCTGGACTGGATGATAAATATACGAGATCAGGTCACCGCCATGGCAACCTGTTGTGCGGAAAATGACAGCTGTGACAGTTCGCAATGAGCACGGATCCACACCACACTGCCGAGTTCCGCCTTTTGCTAACGAAAGTGGCATCTAATCTGATTGGTCGATCAACAATAATTTGGATTGGGTCGCAGATGTATTCACGTGACAAGCAGATCATCGCACCGAAGACGCACATTCTCAAATTTGACACTCCAGAAACTTTAAATTAGTGGAATTTTTTGTAGGTTACAATAATAGCTAATTGTAAGGAATTTTCTCGCCATTCCTTACGGGGTCCGGCAACATCTCTCACAGCAACAGCCGTTGTTCGCCCGTTACTGCTAACGGGGCTTCGCCAACTTCGCGCGCACTGTTTTGCCAAACCACGCACTGCTGGCCCGGCCGTGTCGGCCTACGCTTCGGGACTAGCCCGAGCCTCGCTGCCAGCGTAGCACTAGCTAGCTCGCACGCACCGCGTTACCGTTTGCATGTTTCGCGTATAAATGTTCGCTCATGCCTTCGCTCACATTTTGTACTTGTTACAATCTGAAATGTGACTTAGCGAAGAGGATCGTTCAGGGTTGATCGCGGGTAGTGTCGCAGCGGAAGTAGTGAACTCAGGTCAGAGTGAATGTAAATGACTGAGATTGATAATAGCATGCATACATTGGGTTTATATAGAAATACAAAGGAATGCGAAACGACCTAGACTAGCCATGTACTCTAAGGGGTACATTCCCTTATTGCAGCGAAATTTAAACCGTGCGGCGCGGGAATCAGTTTCAAACCTGTTCCCGCTCTTTTCACTTCAAATGCTTCTGCCTGCATCGGTCTTAGTCAGACGGTTGCTGTGTCGCTTCGACTCTTCTGACTCCTCGACTTCGTACTCGGTAGAGTCGGCTCCTGCAGCATACAGGAATGCCTTCTCATAAAGCTTCATATCGTAACACTCTGTCAAAATACTAGCGTGAGAATGATTGAAAGGAGAGGGGTTTCACTAGCAGCAGTTGGGGTACATATAGCAAACCCTAACTGGGTTGTACTCGCTATAGAGCACCCCACTACAGGCTAGACAATAATAACATTCTGACACACCCCCATAGCCAAAGTGGGGTGTAATCAGTACAATGAGCAGGCATAGCAATAGTTCACAATTATAAGCAAAGCTAGAGGTGATCATAGAGGGCAAGTGAGGAGGAGGAGAAACTGTGAGGGCGAGAAGATGAAAGGCGCCGACTGAAGCTGCAGACACACGGGCAACAGGAGCGGCGCGCACAGTGGCTACCGAGCGCACGAGGGCACCGGACTACGGGAGTATCTGGCTCCGCGGCTACGACGAGCACACACAGGAGCAACGGACCCACAGGCGACTGGCGAAGCAGGCTCGCTGGGCTACCGAAACGCGCGAGGGCATCCGGACTACTGGCGCTGCTGGCGTCACGACGGCTACCTCCACGCAACCTCCCCCGACCGTCCCACGCCCCTCTCACACACCCCCTGCTGACACCCTAGCTCCACTTCCACGGCACCCCCCTTAAACCCTAAACCCTCGGCTCCCACACACCCACCCCCCTCAGCGGCAGCTGCAGCAGTGGGAGACGGAGGAGGAGGAGGAGCCGCAGGTTACCCACACCGGTCACCCCCATGCCCGCCACCCCCAAACCCTAACGCAGGCAGGAGCGCGGGAAACAGCAGGGGCGGGGCACGGAGGGAAAGGGAGGCAGCGGGGTGGCTCTTGGGCGCCACGAAGAAGCAGGGCGCGGGCCCCCCGAGGGCGCCACGGCGGGTGACGGGAGGGGGGCCGCGCACGGGCCCCCGAGGGCGGCTCGACGGGCGACGGGAGGGGCCGCGCGCGGGCCCCCTAGGCGCCGCGACGAGGCGACGGGAGGGGGCGGCGCGCGGGCCCCCAAGGTGCCGCGACGAGGCGACGGGAGGAGGACGACGGGGGGCAGCGCGCAGGTCCCCGGGGGCGCCACGACGGGCAGGAAACCGCCGCGCGCCTCGGGGCGCACGGCGGGCAGAAAACCGCCGTACGCCCTGAGCGCACGGCAGGAAGAAGACGGCGCGCGCCCGAGGCGTGCGAGAAGCAGAATAGCAGCGGAAGCAGTTAGGTGGCGGGCCCACCCACAGGATCGACCCAAGGGGGTCGACCTGCTCTGATAGCATGTCAAAATACTAGCGTGAGAATGATTGAAAGGAGAGGGGTTTCACTAGCAGCAGTTGGGGTACATATAGCAAACCCTAACTGGGTTGTACTCGCTATAGAGCACCCCACTACAGGCTAGACAATAATAACATTCTGACACACTCCTCTTCATTCCTGGACGCGAGGGGTGCTGACTCGCTTGACCACTCCGGTGAGGTCGGAGCAGTGCTTGAACTGCTGACGTGGCAGACGCTTGGTGAGGAAGTCGGCTGCCATTTCAGTGGTTGGGCAGTAAGCGAGGTCAACTTTACCCTGGTCGATTTCGTCCTTGACGAAGAAGTACCGCAGTGCGATGTGCTTCGTGCGGTTCACGAACCCGGGCTTGTTCGCGATCTTGATCGCGCTCTGGTTGTCGCAGTGCAGGCGAAAGGTAGGCGAGGTTGGAATTTTCGCCTCCTGTAACAGCTCCTGCAGGTACAGACCTTCGCGAACTGCTGCTGTCGCGGCGATGTATTCAGCTTCGGCCGATGACAGGGCAACCAGTTCCTGCTTCTGCGAGTTCCAGGAGATGGGGCCAGTTGGCTCCAGGCGAAAAACGAAGCCGGTTCGGGACCGTCGATTTGCTGGGTCAGCGGCATGGTCAGCGTCCACGTAGCCGTTGAGGTTGAAGGATGTTGTTGACAGCGTGGAGTAGGAGAGTCCAATGTCAGGCGTGGAGATGAAGTACTGCAGGGCGCGCTCCAGGTCCAACTGGTTCTCGGCTACTGGTTTGCGGGAGTACTGTGCCAGTTGGCTGGCGATGTACGAAAGGTCGGGTCGGCATGTGACAGATGCGAACAGCAGGCAGCCCAGCTGCTGCTGGTACAGTTGGAGCCCCGCGGGGGACAAAGGTTTGTTGTCTGGTTTGTAGTTGGTGCTGGGGCTGCGGTATGGAGTTGAGAGTGGTGCGCGTGAGATGTTGAACCGTTCTCCCAGCTGCTCTGCGTATTTTGAAGCTGACAGATGAATTGCTTCTGGCGCGTAGGTGATGTTCAGGCCCAGAAACTGGGTGACGTTGTGGTTGGTGGTAATGTCCACGCGCTTCGCCAAGTTTTCTTCGAACTGGGTAAGAAGCGAATATGTTGCTGGTGCCAGTGTAGAGCAGGTCGTCGACGTAGACGGTGAGGAGGATGTAATCGCCGTTGAAGTGGAGGCGGTACATTCCCGG